ATTTTAGTATGAAAAATAAATGTCGCTTTAGTTTGAATAAAAAGTAAAAAGACTGTACAGCATAAAACAGCTTTCCCCCTTTTTTTAAAAAATATTCACGTGACTCAGTTTCTGATGTTTACTTTTATTACCAATTGGGAAATGCATAAACAATGCGTATCAAAAAAAAAAACAAAAATCACAACGGACTAGAACAGAATCAGTTTTACTGATTCTGGAGTCTATTAGCAGCCTTCGCTAGCACTAGTCATATAACCACCCTACATCGATGAGCTTCTACGGTAACAACTGCCACTCGGGACTGCCGAATCAATCATCTTTTCTTCACGATCTTTCATCACGAAGTCAAACATTAATGCCACCGATACAAAGCACTCCGAAACCACGAACTCATATCGATCAAACAAGCACAAGGTGTCTAAAGCACTCCTCAAGATCACCCATTAAAGAAGAAAAAGAAGAAGAATTCATTCTACTGCTGTCAACTTTGACGACAGACGATCAGTCCCGACTAAACCACAATCAATCTCAACTAGATGATGACGTAAATACTCGATTCGACTCCATTGAATTGAAGATTAACAATGCCATACTGGAATTGGAGTCTATATACAAGATAATTGGATATTCATCTTCTGAAGTCAACCTGAAAAAGTCGGAAATATTCACAATTGTTCAAGACACAATCAGCAACTTTGCAAACAGTCTACAACGAAAGAAGAGCACCCTTGAGAACGAATGTGAGTGGTTAAAGCAACAGATCCAGGTTATACTATCAATGGTAAATGACGCCAAGGGTGACAAGTCCTTGTCTCTTTTGCAAAGAGGTCTAGTGTTTAACAATCAACAACAGTACGTGGATGGGTATAAGGAACAAATTCTTTCAAAAATGTCAAGTCCCGAGTTCAAACGTTCGAAGTTGGGAGATGAGTTGACTGTGGAGCAACAGGATGAATATATGGTGAGAAATATTCCGGAATTGACGCTTCTAGAGCTAAGATCGAGATTGAATATGATATTCATTGAGGTTTTGAAGACTTTCGTGAAACAATACAAGCAATACAACTCCTTGAATATAGAATGTGCCAAGATCGTCGCCTCTATCGGGCCATCGGAGTTTGATTCAAGGATTATAGGCTCTATGCCTACCTTGAGTGATGCTGAGCTGCATCAGAAAATAATGGAAGAATTCATCAGCTTAGTAACAACCGTCAATACCAATCAAACGCCAGACCAGAGTGAAAATGAAGTTTTCATTATCGCAAGTCCCGTCAAGTCCTCACTGCGAGAGACGATTCACTCGAGTGGTGAGCACTCTGAGGATAATATGAGCCGTTTGCGACAAGTCAATTACCAACTAGTGCGAGTTATGCGGAGTCTCAAGTTTACGAGGATTTCGTCGGATCTCATGCAAGCTTTACAGCAAGAAATTCGAAAAGGACGCGAACTGTTAGATGCACGCAGAGGGACCGTTGTTGAAATTGTGAACAAGTGTCTTGAGTGTATTGAGTTCCTCCAGTATTCCGATGAGCATTTAGCCGATCTACAAAAGAATGAAATTGGAGACAGCGAAGGCTGTTTGGACAGCGAGACATTGAAGTTGCTACTACGCGATCCACTTGAATTTGGTTTACATGACGAACATATAAACTATCTAGTACAGTTTCAAAATTTGATTCAAGCCAAAATTGATGAAAAGCGTGAGAAATGGGAATCTTATTCTACATCATGTATGCAGTTGTGGAAACGGCTTGGAGAAAGTGAGGAGTACATTGGAAAGTTTATGCAAAACAACAACAATTTGTCTGATCTTTCCCTTCTCAACTTTAAGATGGAATTAAACCGGTTGTATATCAAGAGATCGGAGTATATTGAGAGTTTCATCTCTGATGCAAGAGCGGAAATTGAAAGACTTTGGGACCAAATGTACTATTCAAAAGATATGAGAAGTGAATTCGAGTATTTCCAGTACGACCCTGAGTTTGATGATAGAGACAAGGAATCAGTATTGAACATCCACGAAGAGGAAGTCAAGAAATTGCAGCAGGAGCTTGAACAGAAACAACCTGTTTTGCAAATATACGCCGAACTCCAAGACCTAATCAAAGACCAAAAGTTCCTTCAAGAAAGTTCTCAAGATTCGTCAAGATTGTTGAGCAAGAATTCATGCAAGATCCTACTCAATGAGGAAAAAATTAGGAAACGGATAAACAAGTCCATGCCTCGTGTCATTGAGTCTTTGAAATCGGAGGTGAAAAAGTATAACAACAGGGTTGTTTTAGAAGGTCAACGGCCATTAATGATCAACGACAAGGATTTTTTTGAAGAGGTGTTACGTCTAGAATCTGAACACTTGAGTTCCGGTAACAGAGTTAAACAGAAGTCGGCATCTACATCGCCCATGAAACGACCCGTTAGTGCGTCTAACATTTCACCAGAGAGAAAACAACAACCAAGGTTTATGTCAACCAGATTCCCACAAGCTCCTCGAAGTACAGGCAGAGCGAAAGTGAGCAAGTTATCGACAAATCCACGACAGACTGTGGCAACGAGGCAACCACTGCCTGTTCACACATCGAACGTGAGCAGTGCTACAAAGTCACTGCTCGGTTCTCTGTCGAGCAGTCGTGTTAATTCTTCGTTATTGACTTTGGAGAGCCCAGTGTCTACGAGTTGTACTAACTCATTCATTGCAAAGCCACCCTCAGTTGAATTGAAGCCTCTCACATCACCGCTCAAGTCGTCAACAACAAGGGGAAATACTTCAACTAATAGCTACACCAATAAAATTACCGTGGGCCCTCAATTTCACTTTGATTCGCGAGAAGAAAAGGAAAACAAATTGGGCTCCTTCGTGAACAAAGTTTCCAATTTGAACCAGTTTCCCCCTGTGAATATAGAACCAGCTTCTATCAGTCTGTGCAATGGCATGAGTAGCGCAGGATCAACGAGCATTGGCAATGATACCTCCACCATGATGGGTGACGATTATTTTGCATGGCGGGACGAAAAAATCAAACAGTTGAACGACGTGTAAAGTTAGTAGCTCTCTAAATAACGATGTAAAATTAATCAATAGGATAAACTACCCTTTGTGAATCTTTCTAGTCATACACTTAAGAGTGCTAAATAATTAGACAATATGCACAAAAAAAAAATAAGGGTAACTTGAATAGTACACGTATACACAACACTAAACCTTTGCTATGTTGCATTCGATAGCGGCTTGAACTCTAAGACAGACGGGTTGAAAACTTGTTGTAAAGTTACTCCGTGTATCTATCACTGAGGTTTGGGCTTGTATAAAATCAGATCCCCTTTTACCCTTTGCTCGACCTCGAGTTGCTTTTGTTGGCTATCCTCGGTGTCGTCCCCATCCTCGGCGACGTCATCACCCTCCTCGTCTTCTTCATCATCATCATCGTCGTCGTCGTCATCTTCTTCATCATCATCATCTTCTTCTTCTTCTTCTTCTTCATCGCCGTTGTCATCTTCATCGTCGATGATGGCCAGACTATTTTCCTTCTCTGTTTTCTCCTGCAACTTAAAATCATTCTTGATCTTCAAGTTCTTTCTGCTCTTCACCTCATCCTCCTCATCCTCTTCATCAATCACTTCTGGGTACCCTCCCAACTTCATCACAATCTTATTAACCACCTCATTCCAGTCCATCATTCCACCCATACCTATATCCCCATAACTACCAAACACTTTTTCCAGCGGTTTCAACACCTCAATCCAAGGCATCTCTTCGGCAATCATTCGCAATTGTCTCTTAGTAGTGATTGCATTGTACGAATAGCTAACCATCGCGGGTGCCAATAAGATAGGATACGAGGTGTTCCAAGCACGAATAACATTTGTCAACAAGTTGTCGCAGATCCCAAGAGCAATTTTCGACAATGTGTTTGCTGTTAAAGGACAAACAACTAGGATATCGGCCCATCGACGAAGTTCAATATGTAAAACTGGGTCCAGCCTCGTTTTCCACGTTGTCCATTCATCTTCATCTCGCCAAACACGTACTCCTTTTACACTTTCCAAGATATTTAGACTCTCCTGCAAAAGAAAGTTTTCACTTGAACGGGTTAAGATGAGTTGGATTGCAATTTTGTTTGGAGTGTAAATCTCAAACAACTTGTTGATAATGAGTTTGATTTTACCAGTAGATAGTGCTCCACATACACCAAGCAAGACATGGATTTTGCCATCATCTTGCGGTAATCTAGAGTCAATATTGGCATTTTGTTCGGATATCTTGGGTGATAGCTGTCGACTAACCTGTGAGGTGGGTCCCGTGCGTGGTTGCGGTTGCGGTTGTGGTTGTGGTTGTGGTTGTGGTTGTGGGAAAGGTTGGGCAGACGAAGAAGTAGAACCAATGGACGCAGCATCTCTCACGCTATCATTACTTTTTGATCCATCGCGTACTGGGTAAAACGATGGTTGAGGTACCGTTTGAGATCCAGCAGAAGTTGAGTTGGAGCCGGACCCACTTCTTGATCTAGTCACTTTACTAGGCTTTACGGCCTCGTCAACGTAAAAATGTGCATGTACCGATGGAGTCTTGTGGTGTTGCGGATCCGAAGGTGGTTGCAATAAATAATCCAAACTGGTGACGGATTCATTGGTATCGCTAAGTATCGTGGGAGATGTATTATGGTTTTTCAAATTCAATGATGCAATTGTATTCACCAACGAGTCAGAGTGTATCTTGTCCTTTAAATAAACACCCCCGGCCAAAACAGTTTCCTTTTTCGGTTGATCGCTTTCGGGTGAAGATGTTGGTTGTAATTGAGAAGGGACCGTTTTGTTTGATTGCACTGGTAATTCTTGAAGTGATCCAGTTTGTGACACCACAGGGCGAGGCAGAGCTTCTGTTCGATTACTCGGTACTTGGTTACTTTGTGGTGTAATAGAAGGGTTCCTCGACAATATTGAAGGTGGCATCTCTAGATCATCATTTTTCGTCTGCAATTGCAACTTCTTCTCCTTGCTGGAGGAAGGATTTGAAGGCATTCTTCAAAATCAGGTGTGAATTCAAAATTGAAACCTTGGTAACAAAAGAAGAATACAAGGCTGTCTGTGATGACAATTTGTTGCTAGAGCTTGTGGTTGAAGTTGATGTGGTGGTTTATAAGCAATGATGGTATGTAGAAAAGTGTGGTTTTTGTTTATATGAAGCTCAAAAAATGCAATTTGCTGTTTTGCCTTTTCTTTACTTTTTGCCAGTTTTGTTTAACCAAAAAAAAAAGAGCAAAAAATTTTTTTTTTATTATTTTTTTTCTCTTCCCCTGTAGTAGGGCTTTACCATAGTTTGTTAGTTGGAGAGATTGCATAACATAGACAATGGTGCTCATACCAACCGCTGATGCAGACACAATAACACGACTTCGCATTATGGTTGCATGTTACTCTTATTGCCAGCTCACTCTTTAAAAAATGGTAACCCAACTCCTCATCTTCAAACTCTTTCCCTTTTGAAAGTACATTTACACAAGTCTATACTCTCTATTTATTTTCATTTAGCGACAAGTTTTGGAAAAGTTCACCTGTCTGTTGTTGCTGCTCTTCGGTACTGTGTCTATACCCTCTTTGTCCGCCCCCGCTTGGTCGAAAAGTTGGGATGCTGGTGTTAGGATCACCATATTGCGACGGGAGTGGATCTGAAGCTGCTGTTGGAGAAGCTTCAGCACCGTAACGAGGCCCATAAGGGTGGTACATGCTGGAACCAAGTGGTGGAGGAGCTTGATAGTAGTACGGCATGTAATAATACCCCGCCGCTAGCATATTTTGACTCGCATTTGCCGAAAACGGAACATTCTGGGTTTGGTTTAATGGTGGAGGCGGTATTGTCACTGGCACTGGCACTGGAGCTGGGGCGGGGGCTGGGGCTGGCTGTAAAACAGGAGTGTTTGTCGAATAAGGTGGTTGCTGTTGTGAAGCGGTGGTATTGCGGTAGTAGATCTTTTGTTGTAACAGGTTTCGTTCAAAGGCCAAATTGCTCAACAATGAGGAGCCTGTCGCATTTGTTGTGGGTTTTTGGTGAGTATTGTACGGTGTCCCCTGTTGTGGCAAAAATGGAATTGGCGGTACTTGGTGCAGGTAACCTTGAGACGATGGGTATATATTTTGGTTATAGTATTGTCCTCCGAATGCGTTGGTGTTATTTCTTGAGAAAGAGGGTGCTTTATGTAGCTGCTGCACGATGTAGTTGTCAAACTGAGGGAACTTGTCATATCTTATAGTTAGTGCACGTCCTTCGAATACCACATCATTCAACAACTCAATTAACTTTTCCGACGATGCTCTATCTTTGGTGGTTACAATTGCGAACCCCCTACTCCTTGATAATACTCGAGGCTGGCCCATTCCACCTTGCCCGTAAAATAATCCTTCGTTTAGTGGCATTTGCAGAATTGGAATTTCAACTCTTAGTATGGATACGTTGTTTTCAGGATCCTTTTCATACAATTTATCTAAAAGGAATTTTCGCAATGATGCCCAGTTTGAACTGTATGGGACGTTACCCACGAATATTCGCGTAGGACTCACTTTTATCAATCGATCAGGATTTTCGCCTTCTCCTTCGGGTATCTCGATAAACTCTTCCTCTGCGACTTCGTTGATATCAGTTTCGTTGACTTGTTCTTCATCATTTTGTTCTTCTGTAGTATCTCCCTCATTTACTTGCTGCTCCTCGTACTCCTCCCCTTCTTCAATACCTGGTTCTGGCCCTAAGGCTAGGGCTCCTTGTTCTGAATTTTCAATACTCGATGGAAGATTCTGTTTCTCCGACACCAGGCCGGTAGATATTGTTGAAAAATTACTCGAATGTCTATGGCTATAGTTTGAAAATATGGAGCTGGCATGACTGCTGGCTCTGGAGTCCGCAGTGGTCGACCTGCGGGAATCGAATGATGACAGCACGGAGTTGGTTGACCTCTGTGGTCTATAGAAGGAATTGTTCTTCCTCAGTAGTGATGGCTGGCGATACTGTGGTGGAACATAAGATCGATTAAACTCAGGTTTGAATGGCTCGTTAGCTCCTTTGCTGAAGCCAGGACTTGGTGATGACTTTTCAGTTGCATTAAGATCAAGTTGGGCTTCTAAAGTAGACCCCTTCCAAAAAAATCCATTCAATGCTTGTACTAACTTGTTGCTGGTGGCGAAATTTTCAATCCTGATTGTAACTTTTGCAGGCTCGGTTGAGGTAACTTTCATGATTTTGAAGCTGTCACCGCTTAGTGTTTGTTGTATCAACAGCTCTATTTCAGTCTCTTGTGTATCCAGTGATACATTGCTTAGTACAACAACAAATGGTTTTGGCTTGATCTCTGAATTTCCTGGAGATAGCGAACTCGTGTTTTTCTTTATGAAATTGGACGAAGATGGCCTTGTATCGCTCAAAGCAATGGCTTCTTCAATGCGAGACAGCCTAGGTAGGCCAGAAGACTCCTGTTTCTCGCGCTGTTGTGACAGCATTTTCAGTTGTGATTGTGATTGCTGTGTGTGACGCGATTGCGATTGCGATTGCGATTGCGATGGGTGGTGTTGCTGTTGCTGTTGCTGTTGCTGTTGCTGCAGATGGGGTGTTCCCAAGTGGGAAGTGCGTCTGGCATTCCCATGAGATTGGTGTCTAGCATTCGAAGCTGATTCGTTTGTAGATCGATGCAGCATTGTTGGATTTTGCACCGGTGTTGCGGAGGACGGAATTGCGTGACGATTAAATGTTCGACTCCGTTGTTTTCTCGGTCTCTCGCTTACACCTGCATCTGATTGAGGTCCCTGCTTCTTCATACCTTATCTGAAACCCGCCACTTGACACTGGAATAGAGGCTTTTCTTTTCTTATGTTGGATACCTGATACAGAGTATATCAAGTAAAACTGTATACTTTTTTTGCTCTATAGCTTTGGACTCACTTAGTCTAATTGGTATTTAATTTTTAGTTAAAATTTTTTTTTTTATATTTATTTATTGCCAGTGAAAAATAATGCACACAATAAGAAACGTTAAAAGTCCGCTCTATTGTGTCCCTGACAGCAATTTAAAACATCAGTATCCCAACACACAATAGAAAAGAGAAAAGAAAAAGTGGGACAGTGATATGCCGGACTTTACGTTCTGTTATATGCGTACGGACCTAATTTGTTTTTGCTCCAATGCTGTAAGGGCTCGTCTATGAGAGTGGGGGAAAAAAAAAAGAGCTGAATATAATCCACTAAAAACAGGATGATAAAAGCGCCAACTTGAAATTGAAATAAATACGAGAAGATTCCAGCTAGGTGCTATTACTAACCGAGGCGTTCGCGTACGCCCAACGAGGCTGTTCAGTAGAGGTATGAAAATAAAAAAATAAAAAAATAAAAAAAGAAAATAGAAAAAGAGAACAATGAAAGTGGGGAAAGTTTTTATGGTCTGCGGAATCGTTCTATTTTTAGCGAGCTCAATATACTTCAGTGGTGGTCGAAGTAAGCTTGGGGGAGGGGGGCTTCTTGATTGGCTCTATCGAGGCAGTCTTCCTCAAGTAATCACACGATCGAAATGAAAAGAAAAAAAAAAACATGAACAACAAACATCCAATAGTTTCGATGTAAAAAAGAGAGCGGGTGTTCAAATTTAGTTGCGCTTTTGTGGCGCTTTATGATGATTGTTTGTTTCCTCTTGCTTTTGACGAGCAAAATTTGCTTTTAATTTGCACATTGCTATTCATAGCAAATCTCAGATCAAGAACTTCCGCATGCTGGGATTAGGTACCGATACCTTATGAGGGGACCCTTTTTCACTCTTTCGCCTAGATGACATAATTTGATGGATTGATGTTTTTAAGAGAAAGAGATCGTCATTGACTGCTATTTTTTTTGAAGAGCAACTACTTGCAGCGATGACGGTAGCATGCCGCCTTTTACTGCGGCACGTATAAGTAAGGGCTTCAATATAACAACAAACTGATTACGTGTTCATTTTCAGAGAACCTCGCTGGGGGATTGCTCCAGTAATCACCAACCAATGTACCCTACAAAGCAAGTCTCTGCATTATCATCGTAAGAACATTGGGATTGTTGCCCTTTGATCCTAAGGTGACGATATGGTGTTTCAGGCAAGAGGCGGTTGTCTCAAGTGAAATACTTTACCAGAAGTAATTTCTAGCCGACTATCGTTTATATAAATAAATAAATAAAAGAAAAAAAAAAAGAGAGAAAAACTTAAATTCTTCGGCGGACCCTTGCTTATACGAGAAAATCCTAAATTAAACTTCGAGAAGTTTAAGTTTGCAAATCTCATTTCGGTCTTTATCTTTGTTTTCTTTCTGCTATAGTTAGGTAGCTGACAAGTAAGTTTGCCCGAATTTAATATTTCAACTGTTTACTAGAGTGGTTCTCGCTAATAGAACGTGTGAAATGTATTCCTAATTGGCAACATTCAAACGGCAAAATTAATATTGGAATGGGCCAAATTTGAGGCCGGACTGACCACCACCTTTCCTGACCAACATTGACTCACGGGCACTGTATCTTCACCGTAGTATAGAGTCGCAACTTTGCACGTTATACAAATCCCATGCAGCAAAGTTGTCTACAGGCGGTAAAAACGTCACTTCCATTTTTTTACCTGCTATTTGACTTGTGACTATCATTTCTTCGACAGAGGACGATGCTTATTTTAGAAGTACAACGGTTAAAACAGTTGCTGTGAATACATCTGGAAATATGCCAGATAGAGGGTATAGCAACCACAAGTTCCTGTCGGATAATTGAAATTTATATTTTTGTTCGTGGTGCATATCCGGCAAGCTCTAAGATGAAGCATCGAGAGGCAACTTTTATGGTGCAAGTAGCTATGCATAAGCTCAAATAGTTACTTTTGCTACTAGTTACGCCTCCTTAGGTTTGAAGAGCAATAAGGTGTGAGTGTGTGTGTGTGTGACGAGGTGGTGTGACTAGGCCTTAGACACTAAAATAGTTAGGCTTTCCTAAACAATGTACTAACTTCTCCTTTGACTGTTTTCGATTTAAAACTTTAAGAATGTAGTTGAGAGGGGCCACCCTGCTTAGCCCGTGCGCATTTGTACCCACCTAGCCCCTGCTCTCATTCCCATTAAAGTACGTCTGGAAGACCAACTTTTTCGTCTACATAGATATCTATCCCAGATTTGCAACTCAACTATGAGTCGGCGTTACTTTCGACTATCAACACAGGAACACATGAAGTCCGTCGTCATACAAACCCATGCGCTCAAAGAAAAGTCGTTGTGTGGGTTTTTGTGAAGGTGAAGTTTGAAGCTGAAATTGCGCCTTTGGTGGTGTAAGAGCAAAGGTCGTGCAGATGATGGAAATTTCTCGTTTGAACATGCCAAAATTAAAGTTCTGTGCTATGAAGCAAACCACACAATAAGGCTACAAACCATAGCAGAAAATATCTCACGCCCAAGCTTAACAGATTCCGTACCGCGCCAAAAAGCCTATTACAAAGATTGCTCTTTGCTATCTACGATGTTAGATTAATGTTGACTCCATGTGCAGATTGTTAAGATAAAAGAAGAAAAAGTGTCCCTTGCAATTGTGTGTTGTCCATTGGCCCTTACTACATGGTCGGAGCGTTAACTAACAAATGCTTCCACTTTTTGGTTTATTCTCATTTTGTATCCGGTGTGCCGTGGGTTTCGTGAAGAGCTACACAAAGCATCATACTCCTCCAGTGTGACTAAAATGTGTCGAGTGGGTAAGAATAGCCGGAGTTGAGTTTTGTGCACAAAAATGTCGTTATGAGAGATATAATATTTCAAGACATTTCTGTGCTACAAAAGGGAACATAGGGGTTTAAGCTACCACGGGATTGGTGACTTTGTTGAAGCGGTTCTCAACTGGGCCACTACAGAGGAAACAATTTTTCTTCACAGAGACTAGGAATAGAGTTTCTTTTTGCCATGTAGGCTTGTATTTTTGACTAATTTCGGGTATTTCCCTTTTGGGGTTTTTTTTTTATCTTTTTGCAAAGGAAATATTTTTTGTTTGTGTAGCTCTGCGAGCACTATAACCCCTATTGCAGCCCCATAAAGATAGAGAAGAGAAAAAAAAAAAATATTGGAATGAACAAGATGTAAAAATATAACTACCATACAATCCTCACGGTTCTTGAATGGGGGAGAGCAAATAAGTTGGACTTATGCCTTGTTGAAAACAAAGTCGATGATATTTCGGGACCACTCCGATGACTGAAATTCCGTACATCAAACCGCATTTATTCTACATACCGGAGATATGTCAAAAAGTGACTTCCGCGTTAACGGTGAACATGGCACCACCGAGTCAAGCAAGTGGTTACTCTTTGTTCCAACAGGATTAGGGCTCTCATGGGTGGCAATATACGCTAAGTTCTTTTCTATGTTACTTAACGATCAAGGTATGAAGCTTAGTATCACTTGTTGTTTTTCCCCCAAATGTGTAATTGGTTTCACTTTATTTCTTTTCTTTTTTCATTTAGGGGATTCTCTCGAAATAAGGTTTTGTCCTCTCAAAGTTCACTTTCACGTTACATTTTAAGATTAAGGTTTCGATTGGCTGTGTTTCGATCTTTGCTGGTAGCAAACTCTAGGCTCTCGTTCTGTACTTGGATTGTGATTCTACTCATAGGACCACCAACTCAGGGGGAGGTATAGAAGGGGAGGGGAGGGTGGGGGTCAAAATAACGATGCACAGAGAGAGTATTACTTTTCGATAACGGCTGTAGCTCAAACTCTAATCATACCATCTGATACTGTCAGTAGATACAGTAGTNTTCGATAACGGCTGTAGCTCAAACTCTAATCATACCATCTGATACTGTCAGTAGATACAGTAGTCATTTGTGAGGTATAACTATGGCCATTACTAGTAGCTAGGATACACTATATGCATCAACAACCAGCAATAGAACAGATGATCCTACTAGTTCATAGTCAGGCAATATTCAATGCAACTGATTAAAATGAATGATCATGAGCTCTGAGATTTCCAGAATCGCATGTATCGACTCCAATGAAGAAGAAAAAAAAAAGAAACAAAATTAAGCTTTTTTATAGTTTTTAATTCGTGTAACCCTTGAACCTTAATTTATATTTGTTCTCTTTTATTTTTTTGTTCTTTTTTTTTTTTTTAATGTTACTTTCTCTCATTAAGGGTTTCACACGTGTGAGTGTTGCATTTTGATGACCATCTCGAGCTGGTTAATGGGGATTCAGGTGAACAAATTTTGGCAAATCGATTGGACCCGTTGTTAACTTGTATGATGTTCATGGTGAAGAAGTGCCAAATTTCATCATCTCTCCCATACCTCGTTATCTTTGATATTACCCAGTAACATACAACTATGAAATCAGAACATCCAAAAAAAAAAAAGAGAAAAAAAAAAAAAAAGGATAACGCAGAATGGCTTATTTTGTTTGTCTTCTTTTTCTTATTGAGTATATAGGTTATGCAAACATGGTACAAAAACCAGACTTCAAAAAGGAAAAAAAAAAAAAATAATATCACTGCTGTCCTGCAATTTTTTTAACACAATAAGAGCCACACTCGTACAATTTTATTTCCTCTTTTTTTTATTTTTTTATTTTTCTTTTTAATTTTTGCCCTTCACAACATACAAACAATTGTTTGGGTTACAAATCAATTGGTGACTATTATAAACATATTAGAGCATATGGGATACAGTTGCATGCAAGTAAGATTTAAAGTTTGATATTATCACTAAATCATTCTCTTAGTGTGGACTGACACTATAAATACAACAAAATAGAATTCCTTTTTTCATTTCTCTTGGGTATATTTTTAGGTTTCGGAAAAGATAGTTTTTGGAGTTTCGCGTTTAGACCGGGAAAGAGAGAGAGAGAGAGAGAGATAAATATCAGTCTAACAAATTTTAAAAATCCAAAAAATTGACAGAAAACCTACATTGTCAACAACTTTGGCTAATTAAGGACGTCTATCTACAACTTCACTAATTGCCAAAAAAAAAAAGCATCCCCAACCATAGTTCGACAGATAGTTGGACGCTTGTTTCCAAATTACGAGCATTCAGAGAATAAATTGCCGAAAATTTTTTTCCTCAACGAGTGATTGTTGCAAATTATATAAACAAATCAAAACTCCAAAAAAAAAAAAAAAAAAAAGAAACTAAAACCCTCAACAGACGTTAAGCCATTGTGAAGAAGTCACAATTCATGGTTGGAGTAGAGTCTAGCAGCATTTCACTTTTTCGTCCCAGAGTTTGTTTTGCCATACACTCCATTACAACGAATTTTTAAAGAGACTTTCATCATCTTCAAAATTTCCCAGGCGTTCAAAAGTCAAAAGACCCTCGTCGACCTACACAAGTAACAATTGAAATTGCAAAGTATTGTCGCTAATACCTTCCATCTCATTTTGGAAAAAAAAAAATACTATTGATGTCTCTAACTCATCTTCGAGGCAGACAACGAAATGGACCCAGTGAGACTGCCTGACTATTTTCCAACAGGGAGACTGGCTGAGCCTTTACAAGAGTCAACAACCACACTTAAACGACGTAGGACTAGGTCGGGTTGTGTTACATGCAGAGACAGGCACATAAAATGTGACGAAGCGGTGCCTGTTTGCAACAATTGTCTACGACTGAGGCGTGTGTGTTATCGAGGCTTAAGATTAAACTTTATTCAATACACTTACTACGATCCAAGAAAGGACAGTTCAACTGAAAAAGCTGGTCTAGAAACAGACCTACGACATCAACCTCATCGAATATTAGATCAATCACTAAGTATAGCTGCATTGTATAATGGGCTGGAAAAGTATCATCCATTTTTGCATTTGCACTCACAACAAGACTTGAAGGATTCCGATATGGATTTCCGGGATGAGAATTATTTACCCCTTAACGATCCCACCCTATCTGACCTACCGAGTAGTCACCATTCCACTAAAAACTCACACACGACACCAAAGAGAAAACAAAGAGGTGATAATGTTACTGAAGCATCACAGCCACAAAGTAACCAGCACATGCCTTTTGAGGAAAAGAGCACTAAGAATATGAACAAGATATTGTCTCAATCGCTGTCAAGCTACTCTAATCAAAGCGCTCTAAGCTCACAACAACTGAGCTTGGAAACTCCGGCAACTTCTTTGACCCTTACACAACAACAATCATCCCAAATGTTGAGTTATCCCACATCTAACCAAGTTGCCGCCTCTAGTTTACCCTACACAGGCATAGGTGTTCAAAACACAACAGCCGCCGTAGCGTATGATCACCAGTATTACATAAGTATACTCGTGAGAGAGCAATTTTTTTGGTTACTCGATCAATTCAACGATTTCAATATTTGGCAAACTGTCATCCCCGTGGTCTGTGTAAAAGAAACAGACAACTTTTTGTTTTCGTGCCTTATGAACTGTTCTCAAGACCCAAGCATTTCCGAGACGATTGATCTAAAGTTTCTTGTTGATTTCCAAACTTTCAAATACAATCAAGTGACGGAAATTGAGCTTATTCAAGCTTCAAATCTACTGCTTTTTGAAACGTTATTGATCAGCGTTTGCTTAGTTCTATTGAGCATATACTTGAAAATTCCCAATGGCAAACTAACGGCTTTCCACAAACAAGTGCTCAACAACCAAGCAAACTTATTTGACCAACTTTTGGCAAAACTATTCATCTACTTTATGCACTTGGGTAATGGTGAGAAGTCATTAGTCATCTCCTCATGCATACAATCAATAACGATCTTGAAGTTCTTCATGAACAAATATTACGACCTAGCGTTTATTCACCACTCTACACACATAATTAACCCACTTGATGTTGATGTGTCAAGTTTTATCAAGTTCAACTCCTATGAAATCAACTTTCTCAATTCGTCCTATAAGACCATTGACATTACATCTTCGGAAACACAACGACAACACACAGTTGTCACACCGCAAAATATCAACCTTGCAGCACCACGTCACAAACAAGAATCCAGAACCAATCAACATACATATGCAATAGAAACAACGGCAACAACAGCGGTCACCGAATCAAGAAAACTAAAAGACTTGCTATGGTACTTGATCAAACTTGACTACGTTGTCAATTTCCCCAACGAGGCAACACAGTTTTCAACACACAACAATAACGAAAATCCTGTCCCCGATATGAGTGTTCCAGAACTCACATTGACACCCAACTCGAGACTAATTACCCGTGCTATTCTACGAAGTTTCACATTCAAATTGCTCAATATGAACAACGGAATGATTGTGCAACAATCAAACTTGCAGATTCGTCAGTATTTCGAGTTGAGTCGACAAAATGGCGTAGACGTGGGCAACCAGCTTTATATCCATTATTTTGGTTGGACATTGCGGTACGTGAATGTAAATTAATGTATGCATTATGCGAGAGTTAATTATATAGAGAGTTAGCTCCAGTGAGAGATTGTTCATGAGCCCAGTTCCTATGTTTTATTGAAAACTCGATTGACGTACTCCCTTTTGAGCCATCTCTCCCATGCACCTTTACCCCATACCTTCCCTCCCCCTGATTAAACTACACGTGATCATCGGAAATGCTGAAAATTTGGAAAAAGAAAAAAAAATTTTCACCACAGTAAATCCCCTCCTCTTCTCTTCTCTTCTCTTTTCTTTTCTTTTCTTTTCTTCCATTTTCTTCTTCTGTCCTTTGTGAACCAACCTTAATCATGTCATTAGGTACTTTATACGTGACTCAGCAAATAAGAAGTCTTCCTGTTAAAGCATTGGCCAAGCACTTTAACTTGGACATCAAACTTAGCGACAAGGATGCTGCTTATGAGAAGAACTTCCCATTGAACAAAATCCCAGCCTTTATTGGTCCCAAGGGATTCACTTTGACCGAAGTCATTGCCATCAGTCTCTACTGTATGTATTTACAAGCATCTCAATTGTGATAGCCAATGTCTCCAAACTGATGAGAAACTTTTTTTTTCAATTTATTATACAGTTATCCCTGTCTTAATAAACTATGTCGAGAGTACCTAATCTGAAAGGAATTATAGCAAATGTGGCTTCATTACTCAAATATCGATTGAGGAGTATTACTAACAATGTGCAATAGTGATCAATTTGGGTGATCCAAAGTCAAAATTGTTGGGTAAAAATGCTGCTGAATATGCTCAAATTTTGAAATGGACCTCATTGGCCAACACTGAGTTGTTGCCAACTGAAGCCAAAGTTTTCAAGCCATTGAACGGAACCCTTCCTTACAACAAAAAGCAAGTGGATGAAGGCTCTGCTTATTTGGAAAAAGTCAATGGTGTTTTCGAACAAAGATTGGCAAACTACACCTACTTGGTTGGAGAAAGAATCACCTTTGCTGACATCTTAGCTGCCACCTTGTACGTTCGTGGTTTTGATTTCTTGTATGGGGAACAATGGAGACAACAACACCCAAACATCACCAGATGGTTCAAGACTGTTATCAAGTCCCCAATCTTGGTTGAGTTCTTGGGTGATTACAAATTCATTGAAAAGCCAATCGAATATGTTCCACCAAAGAAGGAAAAGAAGGAAAAAGCACCTGCTGCTGCTGCTGCTGCTCCAGCCAAGAAGGAGGCTGCTCCAAAAGCTGCTGCTGCTGAAGAGCCTGCTCCTGCTGCTGCTCCAAAGCCAAAACACCCATTGGAAGCTTTGGGCAAGCCAAAGGCTCCATTGGACGAGTGGAAGAGAACTTACTCCAACGAAGAGACTAGAGAAGTTGCTATCCCATGGTTCTGGAAGAACCAATACGATCCAGAAGAATGGTCATTATGGAAGGTTGACTACAAGTACAATGACGAATTGACTTTGACCTTTATGTCAAACAACTTGGTTGGTGGATTTTTCAACAGATTGTCGGCTTCTACCAAGTACATGTTTGGATGTATGGTTGTTTATGGAGAAAACAACAACAACGGTATCACTGGTGCCTTTTTGGTTAGAGGACAAGATTATGTTCCAGCTTTTGATGTTGCTCCAGATTGGGAATCTTATGAGTTCACCAAATTGGACGCTTCAAAAGAAGAAGACAAAAAGTTCTTTGACAACATGTTGGCATGGGATGAGCCAGTTGTCATCAATGGTGAAAAGAGAGAGATCTCCGATGGTAAAGTCTTCAAGTAAGCTGTAGAGTTTATAGTATACCGCCTCTGAGAGGTTTGTTTAGTATCCACTGAATATTATGCCTTGTTGCTGAATGCGTAAGCTAAAGGATACCTTTTTTTGGGGAAGGGGGGGGTTCTACAGGAACAAAAAGTTTCAAAATATTTGGCGTTGGTTGGCTTGTTAACCAGAACAGCCTCGATCCTATACAAAGAAAAAAGGATACACCCATCAGCAAAGCATTTCCTCGTAGGTAGCTCTAATATACGCCTCCAAGTCTCTTAACTTCTCAATCGTCTTCTCCTTATCAAACACCGCCTTGCCAGTAGCTCTATTCTCAACCATAGCGTCCAGCTTAATCAAATCCAATCTTTGCTTGACCAAATCGCAACGATAGTTCACCCATTGTTGATAAAACTCGTGGTATCGAGACCCGAAATTGACTTCTGGTTTGACCGTGTCCAAGACGCTAGTATCTGGCAATGCTGGATCGCGAGCACGGTAGCTTGTAACCATGGTGATACGTTCATTGAAACCCTTTGGTGAGGGAGCAATGTGCTCAATCAATCTGCCTTGCAACACGCAAGCTGATCCTTGCTTGGGGTCGGGAACTGAAACAATCTTTTGTTGTTGAGATTCACCTGTTTTACCCATGCGAAGTGATGTTTCACATCCAACCATGTCTGGAGTGAGCATGAGCACACAAACAAAGGGATATGAATCATGATGCCAACCTACAACAGCTCGAATATCATCGCCAGGTGCTGACACTGAAGCATTAGCATCAACATTATCGCCTGCCTCCTTGTTCTGTTTACTCTTTGCAGCTTCGGCTTCGGCTTCGGCTTCGGCCTCCTCATCAGTCCTCATTGAGATGTTAGCATGGGCGATTTCAAAGTCAAAAACAATTTCCAAATCTACCCCAGCCATTCTCGAAATCAACTCCATCGTGGCAGGATGTGTCCAAGCGTCATGAATAAACTCGCAGTTAACGACTCCATCATTATCCTTGACATACCCACGAACAACACAATCCATACCACTGGTTGAGGAATGACTGTACCGTGCATATTTCATGAAATTCTCCTTTGCCAACAATTCACTACGCATAATATCAATCGCCTCTTTGGTAAATAATGGGAATGGGTCAGAAACGCCAATTGGCGATACTTGCAATTGGGGGTTAGCAAGGCCCAATTGTTCCATTGTTAATCTGCGTGTTTGGTTGTACTGGTCTCTTCCTTGGGATCCATTGGCGTAGTACTGCAAGTGGACTAAAGGATCGAATTTGGGATTCACGGGGGTGATGGAGTATGGCGCGGTGATTGGCTGAGATTGAATTGGAATTGAGTTGTAGATGGGCTCGAGTTGGGAGGTATAGATGTCAAGTGGGATTCTCTTGTGGATGTTTCCATCCAATACATCTTGTTGATAGTTGACAGTAGGAGCAATTGTGGCCATAGAGTATATAGATTAAGATTAAGTTTAAGTTGAAAGATGCAGAGGAAAGGAAAAACTACTTTACTCCGTTCATTTCAAAGAAAATGCTGAATATACAACCCTATTTATAATGTTGTTGTATACAATTTGGGTTATCTACATATTATGATTGCTAGCAGTGAGAGATAGCTGCGAAAAGTGACTAAATTTGGGCAAAATAAAAAGCACAATAAATTCATAACAATTGACACAAATATCGGGTACACAAAATCCAAATTTTTTGTAGAATCGATAGATAAGACATCTTTCATGTAAACTAGAGTTAATCCCCCGCTAGTTGAAAACGTAACAAAGTAATCTAGAATTGATAGATAAGCAAACTACAATCTTTCAAATACATTTGAATTTGACATTAAAATTCATCCTATCTCCGGTCAGCTGTGTTAGAGTTATTTTTTTTTTTGATTTTTTCCCCCTTTTGGGTACAAATTTCCTTAACTTTGGTACCAATACAATGGACTTTGCACTGAGATAATTTAAGTACCTGATATACTCAGCATTAACTATTTTTGGATATTGCACTGCACCTCTTCAGAAATATGGACAAATCAAACCTATGGCAGCGCATAGATAGCGAATCACAAACTTTGACAAAACTGGGATAAGGATTACATAAGATAATGCTTTCATAAGATAAGAAATTCGGTTAAAGGTAAGACTACGGAGCCTCAGCTTTTCGTGCTTTTGATACGTAGTAAAACCATCTCCAGGTTTAGAGGTACTATCAATTGACGTTTCAGAAAGGACAAGCAACACATAGTCACAAAGAAGAGAGAGAGAGAGAGAGAGAGAGAGAGAGAGAGAGGCTTTATAATGTACTGAAATCCATATCCAATGTTTTTGACATGTTCATAAATCGTTGCGACTGAGGCAGCGGCCCGATTTTCCCTGGAACACTCTTTTTCAATACAGCGTCGAACATATGAATACTGCAAAAGACACTTTTAAACTCTATACACTGAAAGCTATGGTATGGAACCTACGTAATTAAGCATTACACCCTTATAATTTACCATTGATAACCACATGGTCATAGCCCTTGACCTTCTCGGCTGCGGTAATCCAAGCTGGTTGGGAAGTAATGAATTGGAAGTACTCATACATTTCAGGATAGGACTCCTTCACAGGCTTGAGAGTTATACCTCTGTCTGAAGTGATGGCACTTTGGATTGGGAACGACAACATAATATCGGCAGCCGACAACTTTTCACCAACAAACCATTTTCTGCCCTTAGCGTATTGAGCTTTCAAGAAATCGTTCAAAAATGAGATGTTCTTCTCAGCTTCAGGTTGGTAGTACCCTTGGTTGATCTTACCGGTAACAGTTTTTACCAAGACACTGAGTGGGAATGGGACAGACTTACCAGCAACCTCATTGACCAATAAACCCACGAGCATAGGTTGTATTGTGCCTTCTGAGTAATGATTGAAGTAGTCGATTAAATCTTTATCGTCTTCAGTTGCTGGCTTGAATTTGCCCTTAGTGTCGTAGTGGTCAATCAAGTATTGCACAATAAAACCAGACTCTGCCAATTTCTTAACAGTTCCGTCTGGCTTTTCAATGTGGACAACTGGAGTTTTACCCAAAGGATGGTACTTTTTGTAGCTAGCTGGTGCTCTAACCATTTGAACACGGTCCTCCATGTGCAAGTTGTATTCCAAACCCAACTCTTCTAACAACCAAAGAATTCTTTGGGCCCTGGAGTGGGCCAACCAGTAAACTGTAATTTTATCTTCTTGGGGCATCCTGAATTGATATCTACGGGGTAGGGCGAGGAGGAGGAGAAGGAGAGAGAGAGAGAGAAGAAAAGAAAAGAACAGTAGCTTATGAGTTAATATTGGGAAAATTTGAAGTATTTATAAATGGACAGAGCATCTAACCAAAGCAACTATTGTGTTGTGAAAATTCACGTGGATTTTATTGACTAAAATTGGGGAAAAAAAGAGGCAATTTGTGCTTTGAGTCGGGTCGGAAGAGAGAGAGAGAGAGAGAGAGAGAGAGCGGATAAATGATTTCAGTGTCTTATCCGCTCACACAGGTGGCAGCATTTCAGGACAGAAAACTCCATAAGGATATAAGAGGCACAGGGCCATGCTGATTTTGTAACATGTTTCAAGAGGGTATACTCAGTATGATATGAAACGGTTGTATCTGGGTAAGCGAAAGATATCGACTCGGAGACATTAATTGAACACATTCTGCGCAGAACAATACAGCGGTATGTCAAGTAACAGGTTTTTTCAACGTTGTACTTCAACAGAGCAATAGCAAGTCAATAAAATTTAGGGCCACAGTCTTCTGATTGCCGCTTGTTACTTGATTGTTGGTGGCATCACTGTGGGAGGGGGAGGTATCTTGAACTTGAGTTCTGCATATAACCATCTCATCTTTTGTTTAGAAAAATTTTATGTTTTGCGACACCAATCCCGATGACCAGAGAGATGATAACCTCCATCAGCCTACAATGTCCACAACAAAGCATGTGAAAACAGTGATTTTGGATGCAGGTCCATTGATCACCCAACCCGCAACTACTTTGCAACAATATGCTCATGAATATTATACCACACCTGGTGTTCATTCCGAATTAAAGGATGAATATGCACGTCAACAGTTGGTTCTTTGGGGAGATCAATTAAAGATCAAACAGCCTTCTCAGGGCAGCATTGACAAGGTAATCAAGTTTGCCAAATTGACTGGTGACTACAGTGTTTTGTCGGTCAATGATCTACACATTATTGCTTTGGCATATGAATTGGAAATACAGAGTGGAGGAAAATTGAGAAGTTTCCCCGGTGAGGTTTTAGAAGGTCAAGAGAAAGATGCTCAAGAGGTGTTACAGGGAAAGGGTAAGGAGACAGACGACGGGTTTGTTCCCGTGAAGAAAGGTCGTAAAAGAGGTGGCAAGAGGCAGAGAGAGAAAAGAGAAGCCGAAGCTAAGCGTTTACTAGAGGAACAAGAACAAGGTGGTTCAGAGACTGGTTCAGAAGACACTGGATCAAGCGCCGCACAAGTTGACCCAAGCATACCAGCAGTAGCAGTCGATACAAAATACACACGGGAAGCTACTCCTGAAAAGGACGAATCTACACATGTTGAAATATCTTCGGACAACGAGAATTTGCAAAATGTGGACGAGGAATACAATGAGTCTGACGACGATGGTGATTGGATTACACCCGACAATTTGCGCGACGAAATCCTTAAAGACCAAAATGAAAAGATTCTCGAGACACCAATCGAACACAAGTTGATTAGTGTAGCCTTAGCTACGGGAGATTTCGCTTGTCAAAATGTGTCGATCCAGTTGGGAATCAATTTACTCAATACAATGTCAGGTAAGCAAATCAAGAGAGTGCGTAATTATATGTACCGGTGCCATGCATGTTTCAGACTTACACCAATCAATAAAGATGGCAAACCAAAGCATTTCTGCCCTAAATGTGGTGGAGATACCTTGATTCGATGTGCAGTATCAGTTGATAATAAAACCGGTAAGATAACTCCTCACTTGAAAACTAATTTCCAATGGATCAAGCGAGGTGAACGTTATTCACTTCCTTCCCCCTTGAGTAAAAACCAACAAAGGTTACAAGGCAAAGGTGGATACCAGCACAATAAGGAGAATAGACACAAGTCCCAACAGAACCCATTGATATTGAGAGAAGACCAAAAGGAGTACCAACAAGCGTTGAAAAATGATGATTGGGAAAGAAGGCAAAATGAGAAAATGCTACAGGATTGGATTGGTGGTGGTAGTGCTGATAACTATGTCAGCCCGTTTGGTACTGTAAACACTATAAGACCTAGCGGTGTGCGTGTTGGTAAAGGTAGATATGTAAATTCTTCCAAGGGAAAGAGTAAGTAGATCTAAGGCACCAGTTTTTGTGTGAGGTTAATTCGCCATACAATATTTAGAGCGAGAAAAATGTAAAAGACTATAGAAATCCCAAGCTCAATCAAAGCTCCCACACAGCCTTTCTTTTTTTTTTATTCCCACGCTTCGGTGTAACCAACAAATGAGTAGTAGTTCTAACAGTGCTGCTAACTTGGCCGCTTTAGCAGCGTTCAATGCAGGCAAAAAGAAGGACGGTGGTAACAACCAACTGCCATCTTCGGGATACAATGCCTCAAAATACCAACTACAGCAAACACAGCCTAAAAGACATCCAAGTACACAGAAAGTGGCTCCCACTACTAAATTGCAGGTAAACACATCTCCAGATGCATCCACAACACTTCAACCAGCTTACGCTCCTATGCGGCCCCTTCAGGCCAATGATCTTACACCAACACGTGAAGATAAAGACGTCAATACCCCTGACTACTTTGCACACACACCACGTCAAACTTCACGACAGAATTCCATCAAACTGCCTTACTACCTGCCGATTCTACTGCCACTGTCACCACGAGATATGATTAGCAATGTCAAGAATTCGATCGACTCAAAGGCTATTGTCAATGATGTGAATGCCAAACGCTTGTCGCTGGATTATTCACCCCAGGAGATGTTGAAGAGCTTGAAAGACTCATTGAATAGAAAATCGCATTCGCAATCTGGTCCAAAGACGATGGATGCTAGGGGTAGAACAATTCTAGATGGTGTTAGGGAGAGGATCGATGACAACATGAGAGAGACATCGAATAACTTAGCCAATCTTAGTTTGAAACAATACGAATGGCTGAAGACTCACTCCGATGCAGATGTAGGCAATTATCGAAGAAGAAACGATTCGCAGACATCATTGGGAACAAGTGCCACTGATGTAGATCCAGTGTTTAAAACGAGACGCCAACTGTCACCTAGTAACACGCCTGGAGTGCGAATAGATGTGACTGATCATGATGCAGAGATGGGCGAGAAACAGAATAACGACGCCAATGACGCCACTATCAAAGTTCCAGTAACAATTCCTGAACCTGATCGGTTGTCCCTCGCCGATTCGACTTCTCATTTTCCTGTTACAAATAGAGGCACACGCAGAAAACCCCCTCCTCCCACCTCGTCCGACGAAGAACGTGATCCAATGTCTCGACATTCAACTTCAGACACGGACAACAATAAGGATGACATGTATTTTGATCTGAGTGATGGCTTCTCAGGAGATGAATTGAGGAAGCAGATGCAATTGAAGGGGATGTCGATGGATACGTTCTCAAGTGGAGAAGTGATGCTACCTCCTGAGGATGACATGGTTTCATTTACCGAAAATGATGAACCTGATCCTGTAGCTAAAGTCAAGGATACCAAATTTCCTCAATTCCCCGATGTGAGGAAGCATCACCAACACTTGTTCGGAACGAGGCGTCATAGATTGAAAGAGGGTGACAAGTATAACCGATTTGAGTCAGGTGCCTACTCTGATGATGATGAGTTGCTGGAGTCACCTACACAAACAACTCCAGCAGTGCCACTTCCACAACAACAACTCCAGGGTCAAGGTCACAGCAATACATCCAAGAGCAATCTGCTGCTGCTGCAACAACAGCAACCAGTGCAATTCAAAACTACAATGAGAAAGACCAATAAACGTAAAGACCGCAAAACTAAATTTGATGAATTGAAGCCGTGGAAAACTCACGAGGAGTTGAATTTCCCGACTGAGCAAGAGCGAAAGAGGTATGAGGGGGTCTGGGTGAGTAACAAAGGATTGTACATGAATTTAGTCGTGACAAAGTTGACTGGCGTGGATTCAAGTGAGACACGTGTCCAACAGCATGACGATTCCATGAAGGCGGCGTTAATATCTACAAACGATATCCAACCGGATAAGGGTGAGGAAAATGGCTCTAATCGGAAAAGTAATGGTACTGGTACTGGAGCTGGGGCTGGGGCTGGGGCTGGCGGTACCTCACACGAGAGCGAAGAACCACCAATCTCCAAAGCTGAGGAAGCAACTAACAAGCTACACAGCTTGAAAAATGCCGATGTGAATCAATTAATCCTTGGAGCAGTCGTAAAGAGGATCTGGAATCGAAGTCGATTGCCTAGTGACGTATTAGAGCAAATTTGGAATTTGGTTGACTTTCGTCGTGATGGATCTTTGAACAAGAATGAGTTTCTAGTTGGTATGTGGCTTGTTGACCAGTGTCTTTATGGACGTAAGTTGCCAAAGAAAATTGAACCTGTTGTTTGGGATAGTCTTGGTGGGATTGGAGTTAATGTGAATTTGAATTCGAGGAGATGGAAGTAGGATGATGCATGATATTTATAGAAATAGAATTTGTATGGACTTACCGAAGCTCTCGATAATGTTTCGCCTAAATCTGTCAAGTAAAAGGAGAAAAAATAAAAAATATAAAAATAAAAAAACTGAAAGTAAAGTAAACAGCTGAAACTGGTAACTTCTTTAGCAACGCATTGAAGATGAATTTGATGGATATGCTTTCAGCAGATCCACCGTCCTCTATCTATGGCGGTGTAATGGATGAGCCATCAGTTTATGCAGAAGGAGATACCGCAGCGAGAGAAACTGCTGCAAGCTTAGATGGAGGAGGAATAATACCACAACCAAATAATAGCACCGTTGATAATCGTCATTGGAATGTTGTGCATCCACAACGTGACATCAAAAATGATTCTGGAGTGGTATATGTTCCTACAGCACTAACCGATACTCAAATTACCCTCGTACAAATCTTGCTACATTTGATCAGTGAGACGTTGATAAAGGATGTTCAACAACGACGGAGAAAGACTAGTATTGATAGTTTACTTGACATATCGTCTTCAATAGACACTCCAATGGGTGTGGCGGCTACTGCAAATGGCGACTTTGATGTTTACAGTCGAGCCAAAAGTTTACAGTTGGTGTCAATGTGTTTTAACAGCTTGATTACTGTAAACAATCATCCATCGTTGCTAGTGAATCATTTCATGCCTAAAAGACTATTACTACTGCAACCTAATGAATCGCAAGCTTTGATGTCTGGGAAATTTCAATTTTTCAATAACTTGATCGATTCAATATTGGATAGGGCTAGAACAAGCTCACTGAAGGAGTTGTATCCAGTATTAGTTGTGGCGAAGAATAATAAAGAATTGGAGTTGATTGAGGGATTGATTATTGGGAAAAATTTGAACTATGCAAATTCGGGAAACATGAAGTTGTATGATGACAAACGGCCAGCTCAAAAAGAGTCTGCAGGAGAGGACGCGGATGATAGAAAAGGAGTGTTTTTACACTTAATCCAAACACAACAATTGTACAATAGGTATATGAACAAGTCATTGTCATCAAACTTCAAGTTTCTCTTTTCATTTGATTCCAAAATTGACCCAACTAATCCTAGTATTCAAATGTTACGACTGGAGAATGCGTGTCCCATTTTTGTACCTGTTCCTGTATACTCCATTGAGCATTTGATGTTGCAAATACCAGAACCCAATGGAAGCGAATTTGACACAGATTTGAGTATGAATATCAACGGTGGTGTTGATGCAGACACATTGGCGTCTCTGATATCGAGTCCAAAGTTAACTTGGAAACTCAAGTTGTTGAACAATTTGGCTGTCAATTTTGTCAAATTTAGCCACGAAGAACCACATAATGAAGAAGCTGATCTGTTTTATTATGACAATTATGGGGTCAAGATGAAATACTTCCACGAGTGTTTGCAACATCATCCTCAACGGATTGCTGACCTATTTACCAAGTTCAATGATGAATTGATTTTGAACTTTTCCGATGACAGATTATTAAAAAAGTTGAATTTGGTTTACCGGAAGGAAATATTTGGGAGTATGGAACTAGGTCAACCTTTGACAGTTGACAATTTCAACCATAAATTTGTTCAATTGTTGGCGTTCAAGTTACGTCAGATGAGTTTAGAATTGGAGAAAATTCAGGGGGAGGGCAAGATTCATGAGAATGGAGAGCACAAGTCTGATGGAAAAGAGAGCGAGAACAGTCGTGTTATCGGTGATGGTGGAGACCAGGTACAAAGTATTGGATACAAGAGGTTGCTAACAACTTCTAAACAAGTACATTTTGACGAAGATGAGAATACCATTGCTGAGAGCTATCACAAATTGAGGAAGTTAAATAACGACGCAAACACAATGGACCGCAAACTAGCTAGAGTTGAGAATGATTTGCACAAGTGCTCTGAAAAAGATGGTGAACTTGAGAACAAATTAGCACAACTAAAATCAATTACAGAACATGGTGTTAGTCAACAATTGTTGAGTAATCAGTCAACACAAATTGAAAACCTTGAGAAGGAATTGAACGATTTACATCAAGAATATGATCGACTCACCAATGAAACCGAAGATTTGCGAAGCAAGTATCAACAAAGTTCTTCTGAGGCGGTCACGGAACTGCAAAAGCAATTGAAGCTACAAAAACAGTTGAACAAGTTGACAAGCAAGATGCAATCACCGGGAATGGACGTGTTGCCAGATTTGATACATAAGGATACACTTCTTACCACGCAACATCGGTTGGATAAGTTGCGACATCAAAACAAGTTTCTTGAAACGTTGTGCAACAACCAGGTTGCAAAGATTGTGAATGAACGACAACTTATTATAGAGTCGAGTGGTGGCACTGGCGGCGGTTCTGGTGGTGGTGGTGGTGGTAGTGGTGGTTTTAGTGGCTATGCGTCAGCCGGATCGAGTAGTCGGCCTGGTAGCAAAATCAGTCGAGACTCGACTCCGTTTGTTTAAAAAAAAGGATCTAGTGTGTATCTTGTTTTGGAAGTATAGAGATTATGTACAAAGCATTAACTGGCATACGAGTTATACGATGCTAAAGAATGATTGGAACTATCGTATAAATTAGAAACGCTGGTGAATATGGGTGTAATCACGTGAATATATTACAGAGAAAAAAAGAGAGAGAAAAAAAAAAAAGAAAAAGAAATTAATGTTGAATAAAATCAACAGAAAAGCAAAAGCAAAAGCAAAAGAGAAAAAAAGAAATTGCCCAATTTTTTTATTTCATAAGAAAGAGAAAAAGAAAGAGAGAGAGAGAGAGAGACAAAGAGACAGACAGAAAAATTCAACACATTGACTTCAACACACACACACACACACACACGCAAAGGAGACGGTACAAATCACAGGCCATCATCAGACCATAAGTACACAACTCTGTTCCACCCCCATCCATCTCCATTTACTAAGCTATTGTGTACTATAACTCCTTCTCCCGTACTTCAAAACACAGTTCCATTCTATTTTTATTTTCAGTTCATTATCTACTTCAATTATCCCATTTTTATTTGGTTGTCTTTAATCACGTTTGACGATTTGAGTGGTTCCCAATTATTTTATTTTTTTTTTTGTAATTTTTGAATCGAAAGTGTCCGAGTGTTGAGCTGTTTAGATTCAACCACAGATAGAACATACCATACAACTCCCATAGACAGGTTTACAGTCACTTTATTATTATTCAGGTCGACTGAGTTGCAATATTTATCAGGTTGATTTTGTTTTGCTCGCAGAAGAACAAAAGCAAAGTAACAAATCAAACTCCTTCCACTAGTCAACACCAACAGTCAATCCAGAAAGAAGCTCTTACAGAACTTAGTTGAGCCCTCATAAGATAATCAACAGAGCTTTACTGAGCACTTTCGCCCCTCCCCCCCTTTATTTGTTTTTTTGTCACTACATGTCCAATCGTGTAGCTTCTCCAACTAATCCAGCCGCCTTAGCTGCTGCCCAAGCTTCTCACAGTCCAGTTATCAATTCCAAAAGTACAACAGCAGGCATCATGAATTCTCATCATCACCACCACTCACAAGCTAATGGCACACCCATCAATACAACAGCCGCAGCTGCTGCGTCCTCGTCAAGCAACTCCAACTCTTCAGTTGTTGGATTACATTACAAAATTGGTAAAAAGATTGGTGAAGGTTCTTTTGGTGTTATATTTGAAGGAACAAACATTATCAATGGAGGACCCGTTGCTATTAAATTTGAACCTAGAAAGACTGAAGCACCTCAATTGAGAGATGAATATAGAACTTATAAACATTTGCAAGGATGTGCTGGTATTCCTAATGCATATTATTTTGGTCAAGAAGGTTTGCACAACATCTTGGTTATTGACTTGTTGGGTCCATCATTGGAAGATTTGTTTGATTGGTGTGGAAGAAGGTTTTCCGTCAAGACGGTGGTACAAATTGCCATACAAATGTTGTCCTTAGTTGAAGAAGTGCATCGTCATGATTTGATCTATAGAGATATCAAACCAGACAATTTTCTCATTGGACGTCAAGGAATGCCTGATGAAAACAATGTTCATTTGATTGATTTCGGTATGGCGAAACAATATCGTGATCCTAGAACTAAACAACATATCCCATATAGAGAGAAAAAGTCATTAAGCGGTACTGCCAGATATATGTCGATAAACACACATTTGGGAAGAGAACAATCGAGACGTGATGATTTGGAGGCTTTGGGCCATGTGTTTTTCTACTTTTTACGCGGTCAATTACCTTGGCAGGGATTGAAAGCACCCACCAATAAACAAAAGTATGAAAAAATTGGAGACAAAAAGAGAACAACACCGGCAGTCACTCTTTGCGATGGTTTGCCTACACAATTTGCCGAGTATTTGGATTCAGTGAGGTCGTTGCCATTTGACGCCGAACCTCCATATGAAGAGTATAGAATGTTGTTGGTATCTGCATTGGATGATTTGGGACAATCGTGTGATGGGGATTATGATTGGATGCATTTGAACGGAGGTAAAGGGTGGGATGCTTCGATTAATAAAAAGCCAAATTTACATGGTTATGGACATCCCAACCCACCAAATGAGAGAGAAAGAAGACATCGCGATCAAAGAAGGACTAGGCAACAACAACAACAGCAGCAGCAGCAACAACAGCAACAGCTACAACAACAGCAACAGCAGCAACAACAACAGCAGTTGCAACTTCAGCAACAACAGCAACAGCAACAGCAGATGCATCTTCAACAACAACAACAACAACAACTGGAGAAGCAACAACAGTTGCAACTGCAGCAGCAACCATACCAACAATTGTACCAAGTGCAACCACAACCAAAACCATTACCTCCTAATCCAGAAAACTATCACCAGCAACCACCGGAACCACACTATGAAGGCGAAGACGAGCACAAGAAGGGTTTCTTTTGGTGTTGTCGTTAGAGGTGCAACACTTTTGAGTAGAGTGTAAATTAAAATGAAAAAAGGAGATGTCTAGGATAATAATAGTCTTTCAATCAATATATTTTTCAACTAATTGCATATAGATATTGTAAAGCTGAGAGGACTGGTGGTCCCTTGTTCATTTTGCCAGTTGCACACACCGGCTTGCCTCAGTAGTCAATGTACTGAACTTCTTTAGAGTTATAACTTGTCGGGATTTCCAAATCGGGAACACCCGATTATGAAGAAAGAAAAAAAAAAAACACATCCCCGCTCGAGGGATACAAATTATACAAAATACGAACCATCATACAATATATTTCGCATCGATCCCGGTATCCATAGCAACCACCTCATTCTACAATGGTACCCACAGCTACACCCACTTCAAACTCCGTGGAAAATGGCGCTGCACATCAGCAAGCAATTGCTGAAAACAAACGAGCATTTGACGAAGCATTTGCCGAAAAGTACGAGAAACGGGATTCACAAATACTACTCAGTTACTTATTTGTCAAACACATTTTGGAATTTGATTTGAGTGTACCTGTCAAAAGAAAGAGCTTGGATGAATCAGAGCCCTTGTTGGGAGATGGGCATTTACCATTTAATGGATTCACTAGGGAAAACACCTTGCCTGATCCAGCTACCTATTTAACCAAATTCCCCAATTCGATTTTCCGCCCAGGGATGAAAATGTTGGATTTTGCTTGTGGGACAGGTATGGTGACTGAATTATTTGTTCCGTATCTCATTGGTGGGGATGCGAGTGGTGATAATGGAACCAAGAGTGAGATAGTTGGCATTGATATAGGACCTGTGTTTTTGAAATATTTCAACGACAGAGCAGCCAAGTTGAACAATGACCACCAATTGTCAATGAAATCTTACGAATACGACGTTCTTGATCCGGAAATTGAGCCAGAATTGGCCCAATTTAACAATCATTTCGATTTCATCTTTTCGACAATCTCATATCATCATATACACAATTATGAACAAGTGACTACGAAATTGGCCGATTTTTTGAAACCTGGTGGATGGATGTTCATTGTTGACTTTTACAATGAGGACGTAGAGCAGATCGATGATGATGATGATGATGATGATGATGATGCGAGAGCGAATGCCCACGATCGGGATGTGTCTCATGGAGTTCAGCACATGGGTGGATTGAAAATCAACAAGTTGAATCGTACATTGGGCGACTTGGCGGGGTTGGTTAATGTGTCGAGTGCTAGAGAGTTTCGAACTACGTTGTGGCAACCACGTCTGTTTATTTTGAACCATTCGAAACAGTCAATGGTTGATAAGATGAATGCTGGTGAGTTGGAGTCAAGGGATTTGGATGGAGAGGTTAATTATTTGATTGAGACTAGTTTGATTTACGCAATTGGACAAAAGCCGGAAAAAAAAAAAAACCAGTAGATTGTGTTAGCGAAGAATCTTGACCTAAAATGGCTTCGTTAGATTAGATACGATTGTAGAAGAAATGTGAACCGCGTATGTCATGCGGAGTATCCTGTGGTTATGTTTTTTCTCATAATGCGTACAGAGTACTTAGTTCCACCTTCACCACATGTAATGATTTAATCAAATGTGTCTACATATTCAAATGGCATACCATTCTCAGTTGATGGAAATTGCACCATGTTACTTTTCCTGTGGTTGAGGTTTCGGTCTCAGTAAGTGACTCTCTTTTTGACTCCTCTTTGTGAAAAGGAACGTCAGGCAACACGTCAAAATCAGAATTGTTACAAAAAGAATCAATGAAGCATTATGATGCATGTTTGCCAGCACCATCACCGGCCCGTTGATGATAGCTACAATCACAGTCATTGTTGTTCCTATCATGGCAAAAGCGCAATATATTGCGCTTCTAAGCTCAACCTGTGGTATCCTTTGTGATTGTCTTTCTCTAGCAGTACTACACATTGTGACTCAATTGTCTGCTGGACAAGCACTTGATGCTACACATGGCCACAATACTGCCCGTTATACATATTATCCTGCCGTTGATTTGGTAGGCACGGCAGCGTCACTGATGCTGTCGTATCTCTCATCACCCTTTCCTTTATTCAACGGTACTTGTGTATGAGCCAAGCTCTGTCCTCCCCGGAACTTAACAACTCTCTCTTGTCTATTATCCCTGTTTGCAAACTCTGCCAATGATGTCCCCACAAGCACTAATGATAGAACTCACGTCTTTGGTAGCATTGGGCTAGCACGTGACTGAGTAAAGAAATAGGGGCCAACAAAAATATTTATAAAGGGAAGAGAACAGAAAAAAATAAAAGCAATTTACAAATTTAGATTTATCAATCAATAATCACACTACAATTAAAAAACAAAGAAAAAAAAAATAAAATACAAATATAACGTCAGACGGAAAAAAAGAAATAGGGAAGAATCCCACATTTTTATTACCAACACACAATCACATATTACATTTATCTTTTACAGAAAGACCAATAAACTACGTACTACAACTCACAAATACCACAACATCTCCCCCCCACACACACGTATACACACAAGTGTCCCCCTTTTTTCAAACATAAATTAATAATCTTTTTCTTTTTTTTTTTGCCCTCTATTCCCAACAATTCCTTTTACGATATGGCATCAAGACAATCACAAAGACGATTAACCAAGGAGTATAAAGCTATCCAACAAACGCCACCACCCTACATTACAGCCAAGCCCAACGACGAAAACATCTTGGAGTGGCACTACATCATCACGGGCCCACCAAATACACCATTTGAGCATGGTCAATACCATGGGTTATTACGATTCCCACAGGAATACCCATTCAAACCACCTTCGATATCGATGATTACTCCCAATGGAAGATTTGCATGTAATACGAGATTGTGTTTGTCTATGAGTGATTATCATCCGGACACTTGGAACCCTGCATGGAGTGTAGCGACGATTTTGACGGGGTTGCTCAGTTTTATGACTGGGGAGGAGTCGACTACGGGGTCAATCACAACGTCGGAGAATGTGAGGCGGAAGTTGGCTCGTGATAGTAAGAAGTGGAATGTGAAGGAGAACCCAAGGTTTGTGAAGCAGTTCCCCAATGTCGTACAACAGAATAAAGAGGACATAGCTCGTGCTGAAGCGGAAGCAGAGGCAGAGGCAGAGGCAAAGAAACAGAGACAATTGAGCAGTGGCAGAAGCTTAGTTACGGAAAAGGCTATTGATTTGTCGCAGTTGGACAAGTTGGATCCTGAAGATAGGGCTCGGTTGTTGATTGAGCATGAGCGACAGTTGGCTGTGGTGAATAAGACTGCTAATGGTGGTGCTAGTGGCGGAGCCCCTGGCGGCAATAGCTTTGGAGGTTTCACTGCGTTGGTGGGAATATTGGTTGCTGCATTTCTTGCAGCCTATTTTGGTATCATGAAGACCAGTTGATGTGAGGAGTAGTTTCGCTGTATATACAAGTGCGTATAGAAGATTAGCTCTAGCATAATTAGAAAACTTGGATACTATTTGGGGTAGTTTAGGAAACGTAAATCAAGCTATACTAAAAGTTCGGCGCCGAGTGCTTGTTGTCGCTGTTCTCTAAGGCAGTGTCGTATTTTGAGACAATATGACAACACTTCGGTTTGTTTTCAAGTTTGTGTCTTTTGTTTTTCTTTTATTTTTTTATGCTATTTTTATTCTTCAAGGCGGAGTGGCAAAAGTTGGAGAGAGAAAAAAAAAAAAAAAAAAAAAGGAAGCCATAGGGCTTTCCTTAATTTGTAGAGAGATCCTTTCCGTATTGGGTCGTGTGTGTGAGGGGGGGGAGGGGGTAAGTGAATTATTTGTAGATGATACGGGATCTGTTTCCAAAACAACATAACATAAAAATAGAATAGCCACTCAAATATAGACAAACATTAGTTAGTGGATAGATATACATATACATATACATATACATATACATATACATATATGGGGTTACACTCTTGTTTCGTTTAAACGTACGTCTCTTTGCTTTCTAAGATGTGAACTTCCGTCTCAGACGGGACCCTTTGTTTTTTTGTTGTTCCGATGAATAATTTTGACATCCGACATTTCTATACATATATAAACATATATTGAAACAACAATAGACCTAATAATAGATATGTATAATGATGTAACCCATGACAGAGTCGCGTAAAAGAACAAACAAACAAAACAAACAAAGCAAACAAACAGACAGACATAAATACTATACATACTATACGTACTATAAATACATATACATACCAAATCAGAAACAATTGTGTCTCCCTTTCGTATATTTTAATGCACGTGTCTCTGCTTAATCTTTTTCCATTCATTCCACGATATTACTACTTATTTCTTCTCACATTTTGTTGAATGTTTAGTGACTATTTTTAGTACGTTATTTTTCTTTCTTACCTCTTTCCCTACCATCAGTATATAGCTGACTAACTGAAAACCAAAACTACGTAATCAACTTCTTCTTCTTCTTCTTCTCCTTGTTCTCTAATTAAGTAATTAATTTTTTTTTTATTTTTTTTTATTTTTCCTTCTTATTCTCCTTCTAAACAACTTATTCTTCATTCAATTTTTTTTTATGTTTTTTTTTTTTTTTTTTTCAAAACTTGAAACTGTAAAAAACCCTTTTTATCTATTTTAAGAGGTCAGCAACAACAGTACGACTCTCTACCATCTAAGCGGATCTACCAGAGCTAATCATCTCTCATACGGCTATCCACTGACACATATACTAAATCCATCCCCCCGATCCCCAAATGACCCACAAGTAATGAGTTCAAGTTCTGCACATCCTTATCGTCAAGTCACTTCTTCCAGCAGTAGTGCAACAACTACAGGCACGTCCACTACTCCATATCCCCTCCTGGACTTCAACCAAGCTAGCCAAAGTGATCGCTCTGATAGTTCGCCCAGTATGACCGAGGTTACCTCTGGTATGGAAGATTTGCATTTACCTCCTAATCATAACAGCAAGCCATATATACCGCACGGCAATCAACAACAACAACAACAACAGCATCAGCAGTCACAATATGGCTCAGAAAAAGTTCATCAATATGGGTATGAACCTATTCCCCCACCCCAGCACCAATATCAGTACCATCACCAGCAACAACAACCACAGCAAAATTACGCGCGTCATGCATCAGCGCCACAGCATCAACAACAACAACAACAACAACCACAGCAGCAACAGCAACCACAACAGCATTCTCAAAGACACAAGTATAAAAGCTTATTAGATGATGGTTCCGGTGACAAGCAACAGCGTTTATCCAGTTTACCTATTCATTTGGTACCAAATGTTTCCCACTCGTCCTCAAACAACTCTTCTCCTAGAATGACTGGTCAAATATCACCAAGCCAACAACATTTCTACCAGCAAGACCAACAACAACAACAACAACAACAGCTGCAGCAGCAACACCCCCAGGAGGAACAGTCCTCCTACCCGGTTGTGTTTAACTCGCCTACAATTGGTATCACATCGCCATCTTCGGCGCCATATCCTCTTTATGACTCCACTTCAGCATCACCTCCACCAGTATTTGCAAACAAGGATAATGGTATTTCGTCGCCACCTTCCAACCCATTATCGGCTACTTCTTCGGTAGTCAATCTCAATCTCAACAACAGCAATGCAAACACATTGGATCATCAAGTTTTCAGTAGATCAGAAAACAACTTGAGTACACCATCAGTCGCTGTGTCTACCAGCAACAATAAATATGGCCACAATCGTTCAGTTTCATCTACATCGTCGTTTTTCTATGATCGTAATGATAACTCATCCATGATTGACTTCAATCAGAATGTGATTCAACTGTATCTCGGTTCAAACTCGGCCAACTTGTTACCCAGAATCAAGACGTTGGAATTGTATCGGAAAAATGCCAAAAAATCAAACGATCCAAATGTATTGTTTCAGTATGCACAATATATGTTGCAAACGGCATTGATGTTGGCTGTTGAATCATCGTCTACGACAGCATTAGCAGCAAATGGTGCTGCTGCTGGTGTTGGTGGTAGTTCTAGTTCAGGTAGCAACACCCCCTTGAACAATGGGTCAATTGAAAATTCACCTCGCAAGCCAGACGCTTCAAGTAAAGACAAACACAAAAAGAGTAAATCTATCGACTTCTCCACTATTGAGGTTGAAGGCAATGAAAAGAAGTTGCGTAGAGCGTTCTTAAAGGAAGCAGTGTACTACTTGAAGAAATTATCAGATAAAGGGTACACTGAAGCTCAATATTTATTGGGAGACGCTTATAGTTCCGGTGCATTGGATAGAATTGATAATCGAGATGCATTTGTTCTTTTCCAGGCAGCAGCCAAACATGGGCATGTGGAAAGTGCATATCGCACGTCATACTGTTATGAAGAAGGGTTGGGTACCGGTAGAGATGCGAGAAAGGCTGTTGAATATTTGAAAATTGCCGCTTCGAGGAATCATCCATCGGCAATGTACAAATTGGGGGTGTATTCATTCTACAGCCGGATGGGATTGCCCAACGATATGAATACCAAGAAAATGGGTATCAAGTGGTTGACTAGAGCCACCAACGTTGCTACTGAACTAACAGCGGCAGCTCCGTACGAGTTGGGTAAATTGTACTATCACGGATTCAAAGATATCGTATTGCAAGATGTCAAGTATGGATTGGAATTGTACGCACAAGCAGCATCATTGGGCCATACACAATCAGCCGCGATATTGGGTCGTCATTACGAAATTGGTGAAGTTGTCCCTCAAGACTCAAACTTGTCGATCCATTACTACACCCAAGCTGCACTTGGAGGCGATCCAAATTCAATGTTGGCCATGTGTGCATGGTACCTCGTTGGGTCCGATCCGTATTTGCCCAAGGATGAACAAGAGGCATTTGAATGGGCAAAAAGAGCAGCCATGTGCAATTTACCAAAAGCTCAATTTGCCTTGGCCAATTTCTATGAAAAGGGTATTGGATGTGTTCAGAATAGTAAAGAAGCACAGACTTGGTACACTAAAGCAGCCGAGAATGGCGATGCCAAGTCGTTGGCTCGGTTGAATGATAAAGAAGCTGCAGCAAAGATTCAAAAGAAGTTGAAGAAGAGACCAGTTGTTAGTGATGCTGATGGAAGCGCGGCTCAGGAGAAGGACTGTGTTATTATGTAGATGCTATTTATGAGGGTTTTAGAGGAGAGAGAGAGAGAGAGAGAGAGTTGAAACAGGGAGTAGCTAGGGCAGCTTTTTCTAGCGAGCCTAGCGGGTTATTTTGGAGTAACAGGGAGGTGGAAAAGAGTGTGTTTGTGTATAGTGTAGAATGGACAAGCAAATTACACATAGATATTTTACATTGCACGGGATGGATGTGTCTGTTGTAAATTGGCGGGGGGTGGGGGCGATCATTTTTCTACGTGTTTAGTTTACAGCTCAATTAGGGGAGCTTGTATTGAGATGATACTAGAAAGGCGTACGCGACTGTGCTAATTGCCTTGGCTTGTGCTTTAGGTTTTGTGGTGGGATCGAACAAAAAAGTTGCGTGTATTTTGGTCAAACTGAAAACAGTACTTTCGCTGTTCAATTACATCACCGCAAAAGAGAGAAGTAATGACTAAGTCTACATGGAAGCTAAGCCATGTAATGTAACAAAGCTTTCAAAAAAAAAAGAACACGTGATATAGAGGAATTAGACTGTGTTCTATTTGGTAGCGAAACCCTCTTATACGATTGCATCAGACTTGATATACACTGATTGTGCTCGCCGTATACTAAAAGTAGACATAGTCACGTGAAACTAGTCACACTGAATTTGTAGTAGTGCATATAAAGTTATAGTTGGATGCAGGATTATTGAGGCTGCAACAATGCACAAACACAGATGTCCCCTTTTCCAATAAAGTAGCAATTTCATTCTACTAAACGCTGAATTTGGATCACCGAACTTTTGAGTACAAGTCCCCCGTCCCCCCATTTGACCACGTTTCACAAATTGAGACTATAAATATCAATTGAAATTCTCACGTCAAATCTTCAACACACCCACATTTAATTTCTTTACCTAAACTTCAAGTCCAAATCAATCAATCAATCTATTTAAGTAATTTGAACCATGTCAGCTAACGATTTCTACTCATCTGGTAACCAAGGTGAATACACCCCACAAGGAGGTAACAACAACAATAATGACAACCGTCAAGGAGGCGAACAACAAGACAGAGGATTCCTCGGTGGTGTCGCTGGAAGTGTTCTTGGTGGAATTGCCGGCGATAAAGCTGGTGGACAAAACCATGGTAAGTTAGGTACGGTGTTGGGAGTCATTGGTGGTGCAATTGGAGGAAGCAAATTGCAAGATGAATTCAAGGAGCACAAGGAAGAAAACAAGCATCACGGCGGATCACATGAGAGCTACTCTGCTTCGCATGAAGAGAGATATGATAATGCATCCGGTGCTGGTGGCTTCTTTGGTGGTGGAAGTGGTGGTGGTCGTCATGAAGGTGGATATGGTGGTGGCCGTGATGATGGATACGGCGGTGGTCGTCACGAAGGTGGTGGAAACTTTGGATATGGTGGTGGTCGCGATGATGGATATGGTGGTGGCCGTAATGATGGATATGGTGGTGGCCGTAATGATGGATATGGTGGTGGCCGTAATGAAGGCGGATACGATGGTGGCCGTAATGAAGGCGGATACGGTGGCGGATTTGGTGGCGGTCGTGACCAAGGTGGATACGGAGACAGAATGGAAGGTGGACGTCAGGGAGGTTATGGGGGTGGTCAAGGTGGTTACGGTGGTGGTCAAGGTGGTTACGGTGGTGGTCAAGGTGGTTACGGAGACAGAATGGAAGAGGGTCGTGGAGGAAGAGGTGGTTGGTGAGAAGTTCAATTGACTTGAGAAAAGAATGATGTACGTACTGCTAACGCTTGTTACGAATTTTTTTTTAGCTGAGACTTACAGTAATGAGAGAAAAATATATATATTTGACTAGTTTCTTGATTGGAATGCATTAAGGCAGATTCATTGATGGTATTCTCTACCTGTCTCTTTACTCTATAAACAGAGTTCACAATCTCTCTGATCATTTCATTCAGATTTTTGCGTCATTACTCTCGCAGCCAGTTTATTCAACAACGAAGATTTCAGTTCTGTCAAATGAATACTATGCAAAGGAGGTAGATGCAGTTGCTGCACTGGTTCAGGAGGCGGAGGAGGTGCAGATGATTGAGAAGGAGTGGCATGACTTTGGTCCCTTATCTGAGTGTTATCCCTGTTCAGGTTGTTATTCCTGGAAACAAGTGAGTCACTACGCATCAATGGTACTTTAGGTAGTGGTGGTGAACTCATTTGCAAATCATCATCTTGTGAAATATCGAAAAACTGAACTTTCTTTGAGTTACTAATTGGAGAATCCAAATCCTGATCAACTATTATGGAGTTGTTGTTATTGTTTCCATCCTCGCGAAATACTAATTCAGATGCACTTTGAAAACTGACATCATTCATACTTATATCCTCGGGTCCGTTCTCTACCCCAACTGCTTTTTGTCTTGCAATGAACTCCGGCGATGCTGATGGTACCCATTTGTTGTTATATGTTGTTGTTGTTGTTGTTGTTGTTGAAGATGTAGGCAATTGCAAAGATCGCTTGGTTTTGCTATTTGGTGAAGTTTTTGCACGTTTTGATACTAGTTTCTTTGCTTCTCGTGGAGGTGACACGATATTTGAGATCGCAACGCCATTAGTTCGTGGCTTTTTAAACAACTGAGAAGGATACGCATTTTCATCGTTGATCAAATCTTGATCCCTTAAATCGTCGATGTTATGTGCAGTGGCGGCATCATTCATCAAAACACCGCCATCTCTACCATTACTGTCATTTATGCCACCATTCTCCGTTTCATTCCACGTCTTATTACGAAGATACTCCAAAGCAAATTTGTCAAAAGCAGAATCAAATGTCCCATTAACTAGTTTTTCCAATCCATCAATCATATCTTGCAAAATTGTGACATCTTTACTCAACGCAGTAGCCCCAGCGCCTGCACCTGCACCAGCACCTGCACCTCCTGGGCTCGCTAGATACGTGGCAATGGCCCAAGGGGCACGATAAAATTGAGCTAGTGCATAGATCAAGTGATCATACAATGCTGAAGACCTAACCAATATTTCAAGTTGTAAGTCATCACGTATAGATTGAATCAATTGATCATACATCGCCGAGTGATATACTGTCCAGTCAGGTTCATCATTCACCAACCTTGCCAAAACTCGTACCGCAGACTCGCCTAAAATATGATCGATTTCAGTATGCTGCCTGTACTGCAGCTCAATTTGCCAAATTTGGTTATCGATCTTGGACAAGACCTGCTCACACAAGTCATATATGGTTGAAGTTAATTGATCAAATCGTTGTGGCACCACTGAGGACTGTCTCTTTTGTTGAAACTGGTGTCTGCTCTCAAGTATAATTTCAACCTCAACTTTCTGTCGTAATAGTACTTTGCGTTTGGCCAACATGAATATCTTTTTCGACTTGTCAAGACTGTACTTGGCAATGTTGCGCCTGACTGATGCTATAGTGTCCTGCAATAGCTGGAAAATTCGTTCTTCAGATCTCTTGCGTTTACCGATTGTAATATCAGCAATTTCATTCTCACGTGCCCTCAATTCCTCAATCTCTTGTTTCTGTTCGGTAATCATTTTCAAATAAGACCCCACATGGCGGTCCAAATTGTGTTGGTTTCTGATCAATTTGGTCTTGATCTCCTTGGCTCGATCTGCATACTTCAACGTGTTCAAAGTCTCATCATAATGTTGACTACTTGGGGAAACGCAAACAATCATCACGGTTTTGCAATTACCTCCAAGGGAAAACTTCAATAATCTAGTTAGTTTGGAGTCACGATAAGGTATATGGTTTCGGCGCCGTGGGTCACACAATGCATTGATGCAATTCCCTAATGCTAGTAATGACTTGTTGATATTTGCACCTTCGTTTAATCGAGCTCCTCGATTCTTGGTTGCTGCTGCTCTCTCACTCCCTGCCAAATCTATGATTGATAATGTAGCAAATGTGTGTTCCTCTTTTACATCACCCGTACGATTCTTTTGGTCGATATTTATTTGTAAAACGGCGTGTGATCTACTTGATGTCGCATTAGCTTCAGTTGGACTCGATGTACGATTGGCGTTACCAGCAATTATCAAATGCATCACTTCGTCCACTGATTCAGGTCTATGTCGTGATAAATTCGAAACTGAAATCTTGTTATTTGAGTCTTCACGAATTATTAGTTTCTTAAAATCAGTCTCTGGATTGAGTAAATCACGAATAGTTTCATTGTATATTTCAAGATAGGATAGACTCACATCAATTATTTTTGTGTCGTTGAGCTCCCCAATTCTTTCATATAATTCTTTCATTGTTAGGAATATAACACCAGGGTACTCGGGAGTTCCCAGAATCGTGTGTGTCTTTCCACATCCTGTAGCTCCATACGCAAAAACAGTGGCATTATAACCATCCAACACTGAGTCAAGCAATGGCCGGGTGGTGTTTTGATACACATCATTCTGAGATGCGTCCTCGTCAAACAATCTGTCAAACACAAACTTGTGCTCTCTTATTCGTGACCCTTTAAAACTATTAGGAAAGGCGTTTCTTTGCATTTTCGCCAAAGGGTTTGTCTCTGGTGGATCGAATATGAGCATTCTATCATCAACTACGTTGACAATTTTCCGTATACCTGATTGATTGAGGAACTTTTGTTTGTTTACAGAATTGGCAGTTGCTGTGGTGGAATTGTAATTGGTATTGTTGTTGCTGTTGCTGTTGTTGTTGCTGTTGCTGTTGTTGCTGTTGCCGTTGTTGCTGTTGCTAGCATTTCCATCGGTAAAGCATCCCTCTCCAAGGAAAAAATCATCATCCTCGGGCTTAACAAGGCGGTTGTTTTCAATCTCAGTGAATGGTCTCACTCTAACTGCAACTGATATCGAAGATTGTTTCACTCCCGATGCATATGTATTTGTTAATGATGATGCAGGTGTGGATGTGTTCGAATCCATAACATCTATGAGTTACAAAATGGGGAAGGGGATGGGGGAGTTCTAGATTAATGTTTGTATTTGAGAATCTGGGTGTATGATGTGGTCGGACCTTTGGGTGTTTGGTAGTTGTAATTCTGCTTCTTTTACGGCTGCCTTCTGGTGTTTACATTTTCCACCAAAAGGAAGGAAAAGAAAAAAAAAAAATAAAAATTGATCTCTGTTCACGCGCGTCACAAGACATGGATGGAAGAGACAGCTTTACAGTCGCAAGCACACCACCGGTTACTACTGTTCTGGGCACCTATGAATGACTTTGAACTAAGAAAAGTGCGTGCGTAGACACAACGCCAACTATCTCTGATGGTGTGTATAATATGATGGCGTTGAATAAGACTACTTAGAAATTTTGTAGAAGTGAAGAAATGACACAGCAAACACTATATTCTAAAAGAGAGCATCGTAACCTGTGATCGTAACAGGTGCTTTTCTAAAGTGTCGAGCTTATTGTATAATATGGCATATAAGAGATTGTCAAGGTTGAGGACTTTTTTTGCATGAAAGTTGGAGCAAAAATACACATCTCTGGAACTTCGGTTTTTAGGATTCCAGTTTACCAGAGTTGAAATATTGATGTTTCTATCTTTCAAGTATCAACAGTGTGCGTTTGTACATGACATTGGGGCAATTTCTTGACTTTAAAAATCATATACCTGAAACTAGTTCCAACTTGTGTTTAAAACCAACTCAGTTGGAGTTGAATTTCATCTTGTGTACTGAAAATGATACTTCTGAAGGGCTCTATTGGTACTCCTTGGATTTCCCAATTACTTGGATAACTAGAATCTTTAATCTTGCTAATGTGATTCACTTTTGGGTTGGATTACTATACATCCGTGATGAGGATTGATGAGCTGGTTTCGTTGCTCTATCTAATGCCAAAGTTGAATGAATTAAAATTGCGTTTTGGTGAGTTGTTGATTCATCAGATTCACCAACATATCTGGCCTGGTATTCAAACAACACATTTGAAGTTGGATAGAAACAATTATTATATTCGATCGAGTCTCCCACCTTATATCAAATGCACGAAATGCAACAAACAAAAGACACAATGCATTTGGTTTGGACTAAGAAATCATGCGTGGCATGGGCATATTACTTTTTTGTCGATCTTATTGTTACAAGCTGGCAAAAATTTGATATATAATGCGTTGATGAATACGGAGCATTCACCAGCAGACTCATAGACAGAGTATACAGCGTTATCTAGCTGAAACCTACAGTACCGGGCCTCGTGTTGGTATTCGTACCTCACTTGCATGTAATCCAACATTTCACCTCTATTAAAGATCCCACAACCTTAGTCATATCTTTCGCCATGTCTGATAGCATCATTGTCAACTTCTGTAATAATATCAGACTTGTCATTAGTTTCGCCATTGACATTGCCATTGCCATTGCCATCAACATCATCATGGTAAACTTCCACCTCGTCAATCTCTTGAAACTCCTTTTCCTCAACTCCTTCTCCTTGCACTTTTTCCTCCTCATTGTTCTCAAAATCTGTATCATCCTCATCACTGCGAACATCCTCAGCACCAACACCGATGATAACTTTATAAGCAACTTTTGAAATCAAATACATCCAGATGCACGTAATAATTTGCAATCCACCCAACAACCCCAAAAAGGTATTGATAACCGTTGGAGTCCAACATCTTTTCTGATCATTTCCAACCATGCATTGACCATCTTGCATCAAATGCACTGATTTATGCCAAGCATGGTAAAAGATGTAATTGTAAGCTCCGTGCCTCAATCCAATCCAGCTAACCAAAAACACCACAAACATGGCATCACAAGCAACCAATCTACCTGCATATTTCAACATTTTGGCAGCTGCTAAACAGATATCAACCGAATCCATAATCATCAAAATCAAGTGACCAATTCTAAAGAAGTAATAGTAGTACGACCCAATAATCAAACAACAAGTGATGATATGATGGCTAAACATTTGATAATGATCTTTTCTTGGTTTTTCAACATGCAAGACGAAAATCTGTTGCAACCAGAAAGCCATTGAGATCAAGTAATAACTCTTGAATCTCGCATCCATCAAGAAGTTCGGCCAATTGATGTAAATTTGGTCCAAGTTGTTGTAGTAAGGAGCATCCAAATACAAGAAAACCCCGTATATGAATGAAATACTATAGTAAACCCATGACCAACTCTGTTCAGCAAATCTTATCTTGGCTTTACGCGAATAAATATGACAAAATTTAGCAGCAAATGGACCAAAGCAATACTTCATCAAAAACGATCGAAGAAAAGTGACCGTAATGACCCAATTGGTAACAAAGTAGATATCATCAATGTGGATATCATAAATGGGGTTGCCCTCCAGGTTGTAACCAACTTGATTTTGCAAATGTAAGAATTTTCTGGTGAAGTTGGTGATTCTAGGGTCGGTGCTCAACCAGTTTAAACTGTATAGTAAGATCATCAAGTTTCGGGACAATGGGATCTGGTTTCTTTCAACTTTTGCCCAGAGTGATCCGTGGTAATCGTCATCTTGTGTAGCTTCTTCTCCGGTTGAAGAACCTTTGGTGCTGCTGTAATCATGGTCCTCTGTGTCCTGTAGGTTGTAGGAAGAAGTGGTAGTGTTGATTTTGAATGATTCATGTACTTCTTCCAGCCGACTAGAGCTTCTTCTAGTCTTTATCTTTGTCAGTGTAGCCATATATATATATATATATTCTTGTAACTTTTTGTCGAGATCTTGTGGTGAAAAATATTTCGATCTCGAATGTCAAATATGGAAAGAAAAATAAGTTGAGAAAGAAAAAGAAAAAGAAAAAGAAAAAAAGAAAAGTGGGATTGAGTAGGATGTCGTGGTGCAGATACAATAATACTCCTTTGGTGATGACGCTGGTGTATAAATGCTTGACAGAAGACAGAAGTAAAATGTTAGTGGGTAATTTTTTTGTTTTTTTTTTTTGACAACCCTCTTTAATCCCTTACAAACAAAATTAAGCTTAGTGTTACTAAGAACTACTTTACGTGTTGTGAATCTCTTTTTTTTTTTTTTTTTTTTTCCTTCGCCCCTTCCTTGTAAAGCGCAGTTAAGTGTGCAACCTGTCTGCAATAGCACCTGAAGGAAGCACTGCTTCTACTTTCTATTACAGTCTACGTGCGTATGTGCATCCAAGTAGTACTAAGTTGGTGTCGTGTCGTCTCCGTCCTGCGTCGTGCGCCCCTCGTGTCAAAACAATAAATCCAACAAAAACTTTCCAAAAAACAAAAAAAATTTTCTTTTGTTCCTTGTAATCTGTCCTTCGATGTGGCTGTAAAAACCATTTCTTTTGTGTGCAGGAAGGTACGCACGCACGCACGCGCACACACGCACTTACACACACACATACATACATACATACGTGTCAATTCGCATTGAATTACGTGTCTAGACTATTACAATTGGCAAAAAGCTGTGCTGTAGTTGCATTGGTTTCATCTTACCAAGAGAGTGTATGTACAGAAATACACAGAATGCATCAGCCATCTAATTGATTCATTTGTTTCGGAAAGATTTTGTTGGGTGAAATTACATAATCATACGCGGAAATAATTGCGCGTTTCCACCACTATATACATCTCTCAAATGGAAAGACCAGATGAATTGGAGACATCGTACATCAAACATACTCATAGGTTACAACCTTTTTCTTACATGAAGTGCGCTGGTACGCACAATGTACACATTCGCACATACAACTGCAATGTGTGAAGGATATAAGCTTATCGTTTCTGTGCCGTACAAAGCTTGTCTATTTTTAGCAACAATGTCTTTTCCTGATAGAGATAAACCATACTTAGGGAGAGCGCACGTATAACGTCCTCTACGTGATCCTCAACTTCCTTCATGGGACCCTCAGATGTAACATACTCTCCTTCCCGTTCAACTCATAAAGCTCTCCGTTGGCATTCCTTTGATGACTACACATCGTTAAGTTACTCCATGTATATATTACTTACCTCTTCCACAACATCAGCTGTAATGCTTTTTTAACTGTTTGCTCGTTGTATCTGTTCCAAAGTACATATACATTGACCATATCTTGAACTGCTTCAACAACCTCATCAAGATTGATGTGTGAATGTTCAAGGAAATTCATAAACTTTGTGATTCTGATTGAATCTTCATCCAAAATGTCCAAATCAAAATTGACCAAATCATGTGCCGTTCTTGCTTTGGATGAGTTGTGTTGTTCTTGCTGTTGTTCTTGCTGTTGTTCTTGCTGTTGTTCTTGCTGTTGTTGTTTGGTACCCTGGCCTTGTCTTGTATTGTTTGGTTGGGTATTGTTTCCCTTTAGTGGCGATACTTCTTCTGCTGACTTTGGCCTTTGACCATCTTCTTGACTATTTGGTTTGGACAAGTTCATCAAATCATCAATATTCAACTCTTTACCAACCATACTATTGCTTTCAAATTCATCTTTCACCGAAACGTTTACCTTGTTGTTGTTGTTGTTATTATTGCTTGCACTGGGATCAGTATTGATTGAGCTACGGTTCGTGTTATCACTCCTCCCGCCCCCATTCTCTCCTTTGTTCTTCATCTGTGACAAGTTCCTCTTCAACACAATTGTAATATAGATTGCAGCCACAGCAATGATATGCGGCGGCAATAACAAATGCAAATCGGTGACATAACTATCATTAATCAAACTCCAACAATTTTGCAACTCGTCATCAGATAATACAAACCCGTAAACATCACGCTTTTGCTCAAAATAATTCTTCAATTGCATAAGCGACTTGTACGGATGATGTAATAACAAATACAGATCCATTTCTTCAATCAAATAAAACTCGAATTCAGCCAATTTGGTAACATCTTGCGGGATATACTCTGGCCACAAATTTCTTGCCTCCAGAACAATCAATCGAATATGTTGTGGGCATTCTTCAATCTTGCAAGCAACATAAAGACAAGTTGTAACCAACATATAGACATTAATCTCTTTCAAGCTGACACGAGTTAGGAATCGCATACAGTATACTTCAGCAGTGGCAATAGCAACTTGACGTACATTCATTCGACGACCTAGTTTGAGCATTAAGTTATGGAGATATATTCTCATATTGTAGTCGTAGTTCATGTTTGGGAAGTCCTTGATGAGTCCATTTTGAATCAATTTACGCTCAAGGTAAATGAGTTTCCTTCTGGCTTCGAGTAGGGAGTATCGAGTGAGTTGCCATTCGTTTCTTTGCGACGAGTTCCAGTAGTCGGCTGACATTTCAGATGATATATTGTGTTATTTGCTCTTCTTGTGTTTAGAGACGATAACGGTGCGTTGGCCTTCGACCTGAGTGTGCTATACAATCTGTCATTTGGTCCCGTCAGATTAAATCGCACTATACATTTTTCTATTGAGAATAGCTGCAACCAGCTACCAGGTTTTATCAAGATACCCCCACCAACTACAATGTCACCCCCCCCCCCACCCACACACACAGTCTATATAACTCAATCATATCAATTCATAAATTACTGTACAATGGGTATTATCAAAACAACTCAAAACAAAGAACTAAACAACCTTTCCTTAAACACAGAATACAGCAGGCAAGCCTGGCGTAGTTATCTCTATCCTTCCTCCTGCCTCATTTGGCTAACTTCAGCACCACAGTTTCAACATCATAAACAAATACCTTTTCTTTTGGGTTGTCTATATCATCGAGTACTTTTCCCTTGGGGTACTTTTTAAGCAAGTCATTGACGTTGGTTTTGGTTGTGATCAACTCAAACTCATCTTGGTTCCGGGGTATAAAAAGTGACTGAACTGTACCTGTTGCTATCAAGCTGATGATTCCAAACTGTAGTAATTGCATTTATCTCACTGAAAACGAACGGTTGTTGGTATAGGTTTTGGAGAATGGTACTGTCTTGTAATTTTGTTTTTGTTAGGTCGTGAAGATGACTTTGACTATTTGTGATAGTGATGCTCCTGGTGCCCTGGTGCCCTATCTAAATGGTTATGATACCTTCTTTCGTGGAATACAAAAAGGAAGAGATATGGAATCTGTCAAAGTTTTATAGTTGGTGGGGGTATCAGCTTAGTTTGCTTTAACACTGTATCAAGAATTACCTGATTAGGAAATATAATTAATGCGGGAGGGTCACTCAAGAAAGGAACAAAAAGAAAGAAAGAAACATTTATTATTCAGTTTCAGAATTGAATGTCGTGAAACTTCACAGAGGAGAAGATGCGACACGTACGCAGGGACTACGTTATGGATGAAACATTGATGAAACCACATCAATTTCTGGTCTTCTATTCACAATCTAGAGTCGTGATCACTTTCGTAAATTTTCATTGTTCTTGTCTGTATCATCACTCGTCACATATCTAATATTGCCAGTGTTTGTGTTTTCTCCGCCACCAGACCTCTTGTCGTCATCATTGTTTAAATGTGATAAACTAGCATCTCTACTACCTTCAGCACCATTGCCCAACCTCGTTATACTTCCCCCCACCAGCTGACTAGCCAACTTCTTCATCTCTTGTATCTGTAATCTGTCCATTTGATCTGTAGATGTTGGTGGTGGGCGACTGTCTATATTTTGTTGATTGACCAACGAGTCATCATTTATGGTTTGCGCTGGCACGTTTGATGCTTCTTGTCTGTTCTCTTCGGAGTTGGAAACTTCAACTGCATCGTTGCATTTTTCGCGATATGACGCCGAGCTCATTGTTGGGAATTGTTGGGAAATGTGATGGTGTGGTGGTGCTGGTGGTGCTGGTGATGTAACAGGGAAAGGAAATGAGTTTGTATTTGATCCTTCGGACTATTGCATAATACTCTATCTCTCCCCCACACACATCAAAAATATGACAGAAGAAAAATTTAGTTGGGTCTGCCACGAGACAAGACCCTACCCACCACACCGCACCGCACTGCACCGCAAAAGAAAAATATCAAATCACCCAATTGTCCAACACAAGGGCCACCCCCCAGTGTGCAAAAAAGCTAACCTACCCTGTCACTCTTCCACCGCACAGTAAATAGCCTATACCAAAACATGTCACCACCTGGTCAAAAAAACTTTCATACAGCAAAGCCCGAGGAATCGACAGCGATTGATCGGTCGATACCTGAATTTGCCGCAGCACAAATATCCGATGAGGATGACTATTTCGCAAGTCATAAACCACCATCATATTTACCTGAAATTGAGCAAGAATTGTCTCAATTTATCAAATACCACCAACAACAATCGCAAAAGAAGATTGCGTTGGTCACTTCAGGAGGAACCACTGTTCCGTTGGAGAATAATACTGTTCGATTTATTGATAATTTCAGTGCTGGTACTAGAGGTGCTACATCTGCCGAGTACTTCTTGGAGAATGGGTATGCGGTGATTTTCTTGCACCGTGAATTTTCGTTATTGCCATACTCGAGACATTTCAGCCATTCCACCAACTGCTTTCTCGATTTTATGATTGAGCATGAAGGCAGGATTGAAATCAATCCCAAATTCAGTGATGAGATGTTGCAGGTGTATCGTAAATACCATCAAGCACAATCGTCAAACTCATTGTTATTGATCCCCTTCACCACTGTCAATCAATATCTATACACCTTAAAAACGATATCAGAATCATTAAAAGTTTATTCAAGTAGGGCACTTTTTTATCTAGCTGCTGCCGTTTCAGATTTCTTTATTCCTCAATCAAGAATGCCCCAGCACAAGATTCAAAGTTCAGCCACCCAAGATGGAGAATTGGTGATTCGGTTGGCTCAAGTGCCAAAGTTTTTGAGTCGATTGGTTGAAAACTGGACTTCTGGAGCAATGATTATAAGTTTCAAGTTGGAGACGGACAATAACATATTGTTGAAGAAGGCGCGAAGTGCATTGGAGAGATATCATCATCAGTTGGTTATTGGAAACTTGTTACAGACTAGGAAAAAAGAGGTTGTGTTTGTTAGTCCCGATGGGGGTGAGCAATGGGTCCGTTTAACTGATGACGAAGTGAGACAAGGGGTTGAAATTGAAAGCAAAATGATACCAGCCGTTGTAAAGATTCACGATGAGTGGATCCAAAAAGGCTCAAGAGTGAGCGAGTAAGGAGTAGCAAGCGAAGAACCAAGAGTAGGTAGTTAGAAGAATCTGTATTCTATATGTACATACCTATATACAGATTTGGTAACCAATTACAAGAATGATACACCTATGCCGTATTGTATTCCCTTTCTAATAGAGTCACGTTCATTAGCGAAAATCGGCAAGACAAAATTCAACTCAAATCTAGCCATTGGGTGATTGTATAATATACCAAACCCATAGCTCAAGCAATAAGAATGCGAGAGCTGTTTGACATTGCTCCATAATGACCCATTGTGATTCAAAGAAACCAATTTACCCCAATTGAGGAAATTATGAAACTTGAAATTGGACGTTTTGTACCTAGGCACATCAGTAAACAATGACACACCTCCATTGAGAAACATGTCGCCACCAATAAATGAATTTTGGTCTTTTGGGCCTAATCCATTCAACGTGAATGACCTGACATCGTTAGGACCTCCAATGAAAAACTTGTCTAGTATCGAGGATCTCCCGTTCAATGGATACAAAAGTCCAAACTTTGTACTGGCCAAAACATGAGAGTTAATTGCTGTCAAGTTCCACGCGTGCTGCATATGGGTTGCAGTCTTGACAAACGGATTCTTGTTGTGCTTGAGTAGTCCATTGTATTCAACCCCCAACTGGAAATAAGATCCGTTAAATGGAAGATGTTTACTATCTCTAGTGTCGTAGTTGATATTATATGCAATCGATGATTTCACATTCTGACCACATTGTTGCAAAACTTGAAAACTCTTTGATCCATAATTATCCAACTCGCGTATCGAATTTTCCAAAATAACTTCATGATTCAATTTGCAATCATTGAATTGGGTATAGATTTTGTTTACCAAACTTTTCGCATGGACTTTGCTCTGTATCCAATCCAAATTTCTCGTGTTTAGACTTAGGCGATTTTCCCAAATATAGTTGCAATTATTGAATATGGGTTGGTTGTAATTGAGTAAATAGGAACTTGACGTCTTGGTGCCTGTAACCGCATCAAAAACAAGGTTCTCTCCTCCACCAAAGATGTTACGTAGTTGAAATTGAATATAACCATCACCTTCCCCATTACCTATATTGGTTCCTGTTTTGGCAAAAAATCGCTTTATTGGAATGGTGTTGAAAATAGGCACCACGTGAATAGCACCAGTCCCCGTGGTAAGTCCACAACGGAATCCAATCATTGGAGAGCTAGTACTTGATGTCACTTGATGAGTGTTACATAGCACATTTTCAACGACACCAACTTTGATCAAGTTCTTCAGAATATTATCAATAATCGACAAGTACCGATGTAAGGGAAAGACTTCTCCAGTGAGTAATGGGTGAAACTGTGATTCAATGAATGAGTTACGAAACAGTCCTCCGTTTGTCAATTGCACATTTCGTATTTTGATTGGTTGTGTTGAATTGTCTTGAAATAAGGTTTGCAAAAACTGCTTATTTTGATCTAGAAGCTGCTGTTGTTTCTGCTGTTGTAATTCATTCAATTCCTTTTCCGCATTGCTTAATACTTTGTCCGAAAGTTGGTCAGGAGTTGCATATTTCATATTATCCATAAACTCCTCATCTTGACCTAGGATTGACATGGTTGTAGGGGTTAAAAAGAGATCCAGTCTATGTGATGTTCAAAACTTTTTTTTTTTTTTCTTTCTCTTAATCCCTTGATGCAAAATACACACACTGGTTTACTTTTGTACAAACATCAAAACGTCATTAAATACGAAAAAAATATAAACAGTAATACAACTTTAGAACAATATAAACCATCTTCTTTTGCTACCGCATATTCTTACAGCACAATTCATTCCGGAGAAGATATTGCCACTTGAGGAATAGACCCATGTCCCGTCGATGAGGAATCCGGGCTCAAAATTTCAGTATCGTTACTCCCAGTAGATTCAGGCACTCCTCCACCATTCCCTTTTTCTTCCTCCTCTTCCTCAATTAAAAGTCGTATACACTCTTTCCCAGCTTCAGTTTGGAAATGTCGCCTTAGTGCGTCGGCACGTGCAAATTTTCTTCCACATCCATAAGGTTGACCATTCTTCAATACACCTTTGCATTGAAATTTCTTTTCACCCGAGTGTAGATCCTCGTGTCGTTTTCGATCGTGTTGCCTAGCAAACGCCTTTCCACATTGACTGCAAATGAATGGCCTTTCATCCGTATGTGTACGCAAATGTGATTTCAAATTGTAAGGTCTCGTAAACCGCTTATCACACAAGTGGCAAGCATAAACACTGGGGTGTTTTTGTGTGCGCTTCGAGACCTGAGGCGGTACAGCCAACTCCAACATCTTTTCCCGGGACGAAACTTGCGACGAACCATCATACATCTCGTCTTCATTCTCCTCACCCACATCACTATCACCATTGACACTCTTGGTGGAAATGGGCGACCTCGATCGTGGTTTTGGTGATACACTGGGGGATGATTTCGATGCATGACTCTTTCTCCTACCGCGTTTGATCGACTGATACTCGGGATTCAACAAGTCCTTGGAGTTTTCCTCACCATTGGCAGAATTTGGTGACGAGGGAACAATCTGGGAATTAGGAACAAGACTTGTGCTACTTTTCTTCTCCTTGGTCTTGGATTTGTTGTCATCTCGACTATTTGTTCTCGACAAGTTCAAAGATGAGTTTGCCGACGAGTTACTAAACAATGATGGCGTTCTTGCCGCCATAACTTCTGGAGCTTGGTGGATGGATATAACAATACCCAGTGAGTCTTTGTTCACAGCTGCATTTTGCTCATCAATCTCCTGTTCTTTCATCTGATTGTTATATGTGGATAAGTTGTTTTCAGTGAGCAATTGATTTTTATCAACTCCCTCTTCTTGGTAATTCTCGCGAATCTGTGGATTTGGCTCTCCAGAGTGTTCCGGAGGAGTCACCTTGATGTCAAGGTCAAAGTCCATTTGTGGGCTACGGAAAGTAAAATGGTTTGGGTCTCTCTCTACTTGTTCATTGTTTAATTGTAAATTGCCTTCCAACGTCTGTGGGTCTTTTTGCACAAGTAATTGTGAGTCCATTGGGAACTCCCGAGGGTACTCCGCGCGTGCACCAAACTCTAGCCCACCATACTCCTCTCTTTGGAAATCGGCTTCGACACTCTGTTGCCAACCGCTGCTAGACGACATTGTGGGCAAATTAGCAGAACTTATCGACTCACCAAACGCAATCTGCGTGCTTCCCAAATACTCATTGTTACTTGGGGTGTCAAAGTGGTCGTTAACCAAGTTTGTCGAGGAGTTTCCACCGTGTATCGAACCAACATCGGAGTAGGCAGGACCAGGCACTTGAGGAGGGATCAAGTTGGAGTTGCTAAAGCTCGAGGCAGCATCGTGGTATGGTGAGGCTGGCTGGGATGAGTTGTCGGAGTACAAAGATTGCGAGGAAAATTGGCCGGGCGAATTTGGGCTGAGGAAATGGTTGTCCATGGAGCTCTGTTGAACTTGTAAAAAGCTGTGTTGCAGTGGCATTCTGTTCGTGATATCTGGTGAATGGGGGTTTATCTGGGATGAGGGCGATAAGAATTCCTTATTGGTGAATTGGGGTACGTTTTGAGTGCTTAAAACCAATCCAGTGTCCGCGCCAGTGTTGTCAACATACTGCTGTCCCAGCTGGTCTAGCTCCACGTAGTCATAAGACACCCGAATATTTCCTTGGCTGCCGTATACTTGATGCCCAATGTCTGAATAAGATTCATTTGTGTTTGGTGACATTGTATCTTGGTACTGTTGATAGTTATGATTGGCACCCTGAATTCCTTCCCCCTGGTAATGCTGAATATTCATCGAGTTTTGGTTCGACAAGTCATTGCTTAGTTGGAAGTTGTTTATTTCAAACTCCTGAGGAGACGTACGTAGCAGGTTGTAGTTTTCATCATCTCTTCGTAAATACGGATTGTATGACATAATGTAAACACTTTTTGTGCTCTTGATTGACAAGCCAAATCTCTGTCAGGTGTAAGTGGATAGAAACAGTGACTGCAAGCCGGGCCTTATTAAATATAGATATAAGTTTGAATAGCAATAACGGGTCAGGTGTAATATATATGCCTATGAAAACAACTTGTAAGACACACACACTTACCACCAACCAAAATTATTTTTTCTTCTGTTTCTCTCTGTATAATTTAATCTCTGTTTGTTTCCAATGTCTCAAAATTAAATAAAAACAAAAAAAAAAAAAAAAGAGAAAAATTTCAATGACACAAATGGAGGGAGCTTACGACACTAGGAAAACTAATGATTTGTAACGGATATCGGGAATGTCGTTACCGAAAGATGAATTAGCTTATATTGTACTAAAACAAGTGTCAGCCATGTATAGAGGTGATATTTGGAGACAGATGTGTTTCTATTTATAGACAGTATTCTGTCTTGGAATGAGCAACGGTTTTATACCCGATCAAGTACAAGGTGTAAATATACATTCACCTGCAAAAGCTCAATGGTTTTACCAATGCGTATGAGTCTGCTCACTGTACATGTCTCAGTAGGCATTTGTTTAACTCCTCTCTGCATAATCATTACCCTTTCCCTGATTTTAATCACGAGTGCGTGCCCTTTTTTTTTTTTTTTTTTTTTGTCATGCAACAGGGCGCAGCTGGAACATGCAAATTGCAGTTACACAATAACCGGATTTCAAATCTGTCACAATACAGGGCGTGAAGTGGCCATGGAAAAGGCATGATACATTGGGGCATCCGCAAAGCTATTGGTGGAGAGATGGAAGTCTGAGAAGCAAATCGGGAGGGGTGGAGGTGAAGTACCTCCTGCAATGTCTCAACACAAGAAACGCTGAAAAATTTATGAATTGTTGACTGTTGACACAATTGTCCATTAATTTAGTATCCGATTAAGGGGTACCAACCAATGAATCCCATATTTGAGTGTGGAGTATGTGCAGTGGATGCCAAGATTTATTGGAAGCATAATCTTTGAAAACCAATGCTGTGTCGGTGATGCATCTCATTCCCCTTGATTTGCTGCAAAGTTACAAAAAGTCACTGATAATTTTCTCTTTCATTGCATACAGCCTCATTTTTACTATCGGGGAAGCTTATATCCGATCTATTTACGAGGTAGTCATCTACATCTGCTTTGCGATCGAGCAAATAATAAATCCGATTACGGATGACTGTTTAAATTTCATAGTCACGTCGCTCTATTTATCTTATCTATTGTTACATCGAAAACAGCGTGCCACACATCCGGTGCAAATGTCTTCACCTTTTCTGTGTGCACGACTGAACCACCCTCAAAGCTTGACTCTATTTCATCTCTCATTTTACTAAACGCATTTACATGCACATTCTCATGCACGTGAATGAGAGTGGGCGTGGCTGACTTCTCCACAACTAAATTATTTGCAATTGACCAACTGGGTTTTGACGTGGGAAGAAGCCCTAAATTGATATGACTGATGTTTAAGCTGGTGGGTGAAACATGTTCGAGTCTAGTGGGTGCGTGCTCGTTGCTCTCTAGGAAAAGACACGCGTCATACCTTGTAATATCGCCAACTGAAAATGTATCTCCTTTGTTGTATATCTTATACTTGTAGCCGGCATGGTCCAAACTACGTCTGAAACCTTCTATCGACCAAGGATTTAATTCCCAACATAGCAATTTTGCGCCATTTTGTAAATAACTCAATGAAAAGTAACCAATGCCGCAATAGAAATCAAACACAATGGTTCCTTCAAGCCGTTTGTAATTGTCTAGAATACGCTTCTTCTCCTTTATGTTACCCCTTGAGAACATTGTATACTTTGGTGCCCACGTCTGGTATACGCCGTTCTGCACCGCCAGGCACCAAAATGCGTCTTCAAAATCACGCTCTGTTGGCTCGTCAGCAACAACATCAGGTCCGAAATCGCCATAAACTGGGATCAAACTGGTTGGTCTTCTGAGTATATCAGATTCTATAATTGGTCTATTCAATGCAATGTGTGTGATATTCTTGTTACCAAAAATAGATTGGTAGTTTCGGAGTAAGTAAATGCAAAAGTCTATAGGTAACAGGTCATTGGTGTTGCTACTGAAAAGTAGCATTGGTGGGTACACGGTCCATCTTTTGGGTACATCAAAATATGGACCATTGTTTTCGTAGCAGTACTTGTCTCTAATTTCCGCTATTGACTGGGGGGCAAGTGCATCTATCTCATAATAATCCCATTGCAAATGTGATAATTCTTTGGGAACTGAAGCCAAAGTTGTGTAGATGTGGAAGACACCGTTGCTATTTTCTATCTTGCGAGACTTGTTTATCCATCTCTTCTCCTCTAGTAAATTCTTGATCCGTTTTATATCCTGGGCATTAGTCAAGTTCAATCTGATCATTGACACCGATGAGATGGATAGAAATTTGCAGAGAAGTTATTTCGGTTGACGTGAATTTCACGACACATTTTCAAACGCGACATAGACACATTCTGCTTCTTTCTTTCTTTCTCTCTCTCTCTCTCTCTCTCTCCTTCTTAACAACATTTATTTTTCTGTTCTTTTTTTTTTTTTTTTTTTTTTTTTTTTTTTTTTTTTTTTTTTTTTTTTTCCAACGTCAAATCCAACAACGAATAAATTTCATACACACTCGTGGGTAATACAAATATCGAATCACACACCCATTGACTACCAGTTTTGTTGTTGAAAGTATTGGATCTAACATATAAACTAAGGAATACACTATCTACGTCGCTCTTGTCAACTTACACATTCAAAAAAAGAAACAACACGTCTGATTTGACTGAATTTCAATTATTCTCCATTTCTTAAAAGTTAGAAACAACTCCATCGAATTGCATCATTAATCACAAATGTCAGAAAACGGACAATTAGAAACGCCTAACGTAGAGAACCCAGACCAGCATATCGAGGCCAACGAGCAGGCAAATGAGGTAACTGAGGAGATCAAAGAGGAATCGACAACGCCAGTAGCACCTGCTTCAGCTTTGGAAGGCGGTCGTGAAACTTCCAATAAGATATTATATGTTGGAAACTTACCCAAGTCGGCGTCGGAAGAACAAATCAGTGAACTATTTTCAGTATCGAAACCCATCAAATCTATAAAGATGTTGAATGATAAAAACAAACTTGGGTTCAACTATGCTTTTATTGAGTTTGAAGATAATCAAGATGCTGATATGGCATTGAGCACCTTGAATGGAAAGTTGGTCGATGACTCCGAAATCAAGGTCAATTGGGCGTACCAGTCTGCAACTATAGCCAGTAATAGTACCCCAGAAGACCCAGCGTACAACATTTTTGTTGGAGATTTAAGTTCCGAGGTTAACGATGAAGCATTGAAAGCCGCGTTCAACAAGTTTGGATCGTTTAAAGAGGCGCATGTGATGTGGGATATGCAAACATCAAGATCCAGAGGTTATGGGTTTGTTACGTTTAGCAGACAGGAGGATGCAGAGTTGGCACTTCAAACTATGAATGGAGAGTGGTTGGGAGGTAGAGCCATTAGATGTAACTGGGCAGCACACAAACAAACAAATAATCGAGACTACAATAACACACATGGGCTGAGACCCCAAAATCGTTATAACCATCGACAATACAGACCCTACAATGGAAAGAGCTTCCATGCGTACAACAACCAGTTTTCGGGTAATGGACTGCAACCTATAGCACCGGGATTGATCTTGCCCGAATTGAACTTGTCCAATGGTAGTTTGCCGCTAGGTTCTCAACCAATTGTCAGCTCCCCGCCAAATGGTCTCAATGGAAATGGCCAACAAGCAAGAAATATAGCGGTAATGTCGCCACAGTCATATGACATTGTATTGAGACAAACACCTTCATGGCAAACTACAGTCTACTTGGGAAACATTGCACACGTTACTCAGCAACAAGAGATGTTGCCCTTGTTGCAAAATTTTGGATACATTGTTGATTTCAAATTCCACCCTGAAAAGGGTTGTGCATTTGTAAAGTACGATTCACATGAGAGAGCGGCATTGGCGATAATTCAATTAGCTGGCTATAACTTGAACGGTAGACCGTTGAAGTGTGGATGGGGTAAAGAGAGGCCTCCGCAGTATCAAAGCAGGACCCCAAGTTATGGACAAAGGTAAGTATAGGAATAGGATGTAGAGTAATAAAACGAAGTCTGAAGTTAGAAAAGTAGAAAGTGCTTCCTCAGCTTGCGAAAAAGAACAGCAAAAAAAAAAAAGGTGGAAAAAAAAAAAAAAAAAAAAAAAAAAAAAAAAAAAAAAAAAAAAAAAAGAGAAAAAAAAAAAAAAAAAAAAAAA